GGTGGAGATCCTGGACGTGAACGACAACGCGCCCCGCTTCCCCAAGGAGGCCGTCTCCCTGGAGATCACCGAGGTGGCCAACCCGGGCACGCGCCTGCGGCTGGAGGCGGCCGAGGACCCCGACACGGGCTCCAACTCCGTCGCCACCTACGAGCTCGGCCCAAGCGAGCACTTCGCCCTGAGCATCCACGTCCGGGGCGACGGGGTCAAGATGCCGGAGATCGTCCTGCAGAAGCTGCTGGACCGGGAGAAGGCCGCCGCACACCAGCTGACCCTGACCGCACTGGACAGCGGCAACCCGGTCCAGTCAGGCACCACACAGGTGACCGTCCATGTCCTGGACGCCAACGACAACCCCCCGGTCTGCGAGCCGCCCGTCTCGAAGGTCTACTTGGAGGAGAACGTCCCAGTGGGCACCATCGTGACCAAGCTCAACGTCACCGATCTGGACGAGGGGCCCAATGGGGACGTCGAGTACTTCTTCAAGCCCAGCAACAGCGCGCCTGTGAAGCTGCTCGACCTGTTTAGCTTGGACCCCCAGACGGGGGAAATTAGGACCAAAGCCCTGCTGGATTTCGAGGAGGCCAGCGCCTACGAGATTGGCATCTACATCAAGGACAGGGGCTCCCCTGCCATGGAGGGCCACTGCAACATCCGGGTGGAGCTGGTGGACGTCAACGACAACAGCCCGGAGATCGCGGTGACCTCCCTCTCCAGCCCCGTGCTGGAAGACGCACCCACGGGGACGGTCGTCGCCTTCGTCCAAGCGAAGGACAGCGATTCCGAGGAGAATGGGCAAGTCCACCTGGAAATTACGAGGCACATCCCGTTCAAGCTGGTGTCCTCCTTCAAGGGGCACTTCTCGCTGGTGACCAGTAGCCCCCTGGACCGAGAGAAGGCCGCTGGTTACAACATCACAATCAAGGCAACTGATTCGGGGGTGCCCCAGAAATCCACGCAGAAAAACATCTTGATTCAGGTGTCTGATGTCAACGACAACGCGCCCACCTTCTCCATTCCATCGTACACTGCACACGTGGAAGAGAACGCCTCCCCGGGGACTCTGGTCTTTTCACTGTCGGCCTCTGACCCGGACGTGGGCGTCAACTCCAAGCTGTCCTACTCCATTGTCGAGAGCAGCACGCAGGGCCTGCCCATTTCCAGCTATTTCCACATCAACCAAGAGAACGGCAGCCTCTACACCTCCAGAGTGCTGGACTATGAGCAGGAGAAGGTCTTCCAGGTGGCGGTGGAGGTGAAAGACGCGGGCTTCCCTCCGCTGAGCAGCACGGCCACGCTGCACCTCTTCGTCCTGGACCAGAACGACAACGCCCCCGTGATCGTGCACCCGCAGGTCCCCAAGGGCTCCTCCTTCCACCAGTCCGTGCTGCTGCCCATGGACCCTGGGCACCTGGTGACCAAGGTGGTGGCCGTGGACGCGGACAGCGGGCACAACGCCTGGCTCTCGTACCGCCTGCTGCAGGAGCCCGGCGAGGCCGCCGCCTTCAAGGTGGAGCGCCACTCGGGCGAGATCCGGGTCAGCCGGGCCCTCCGGGAGCCCGGCATGTCCCACCGGCTGGTGGTGGAGGTGCAGGACAATGGGGTGCCCTCCCTCTCCGCCTCGCTGGTCCTTGTGATCTCTGCGGAGGACAGTGCCGCGCAGGACTTCTCCAGGTCCCTGGACCACCTGCCCAGATCACCTTCCCGCGCCCCCAACCTGACGCTCTTCCTCGTCATTTCCCTCGTGGCCATCTCGCTGGTGTCGTGCGTCATGCTGGCCGCCGTGGGAGCCCGCTGCCTCCGCCCCGGCCTCTGCATGCCCAGCTGGCTGACGTCCCGCTGCTGCAACCGGAGGCCGGACCGGAAGTCCACCCTCAACTTCTGCGGGCGCCCAAGTCCAGAAGGCTTCATCAGGTACCTGGAGGTGGCAGGTGCCGGTGCCCCGCACTACAAGTCCTGCCTCTCCCCCATGTCCGAGCAGGGAGACTTCTTCTTTGTCAAGCCCTTCGCTCGCTCCACCACCGCCGAGAGCATCCTGGCCTTCGAGCAGCCGGGCGGCGTTCTGCAGAGTCCTGCTGACTCGGTAAGAGGCGGGAAGGCGGTGGCCGAGAAGCTCCTGCGTCCACACGGCATTGCGCGAGAGCTCTGTGTGCGTGGCGCAGGGGTGGGTCCTGTCCCCACAGGGGTGAGGGTGTGCACCCGCCGGCCTCTGAGGAGCGGCCGGCTTTTATGCAGTGAATGCGTGCGTGGGTCTTCCCGCCCCTCCCGCCACCCCCGTTTGGCTGCCTCGCTTCCTGGAGGAAGCGGTGAGTTGGGGTGAGAGAAAGACAAAGCGGCAGCTTGGTGGCATTGCCAGCACACTGCCGTCCGGGGGGAAATGCTGGACGTGCACGTGGGCCAGCCCGGGGAGCTGGAGTGTGTCTCTCTTTTTGAACGTGTGCCACCCACTGGCCCAGATGGATCCCCTAGGCAGCTGGTGACTGGGGTTCCTAAACCCGTAGAGTGACCCGGCCTCACCAGTGCCATCGCCGTCCTTATGTCCTTCATCATGGCACTTTGCAGAATAACAAAAGCTGGAAGCGCACGGTCTAGGCTTGGGCAGAGCGGTGGGGGGCGCCAGTTTAAGAAAACTCGGTGAGGGCCAGCATCCTTGCAAATAAGCTCTGTCCAGACCTGCTCCTGTGTGTGACCCATTAACATGCTGGCGGGAAGAACTGGCTAGACCGGGACGCTGACCCAGTTCCAACTGGGAAGGAGCGCTGGAGGGTTAAACCATGGAAGAGGTGGGAAGAGGGGGAGATGGTTCCTTGGCCGGCGGCTTGAGCAACCTGCAGGGATGTGCCTGCAAGGACTGCGCCTGAGGCAGCTGCCCAGAGAGCTTTGCCCACTGGGCAGCATAGGCATCATCATCATCACCATCATCACCATCAATGCTTAATCCAAGCCTTCCAAAGGTCTCACAAGTTTAGGATGTGACTTGTCAAGAAAAACGGAGAAGACCACGTGCCTTGAGCGGGTATCTGTGCAATGGGCGTAGCAATCGGTGATTTGGTTTTCCTCAGACAGGAAGTTTGGAGTTGCTGGTGCTATTTCAGTAGTTTGTATTGTAATATCCAGAGGCTTGGTTAAAAAGCAGGCTAAGAAGCAGTGCCAAATACACAAACAAATAAGATAAACAAACGTGATTCTGAGCATCGCAATACTGAGTCAAGGCCTTTGTGTAGGAACCCTGAGAATCAGAAGTGTAAGATTTGGATACATTGCACAATGAAATGTCCCATTGTGTTGACACAGGGCTGGGAAGCAGAGAAGGGGCAAATGCAGCTCATTTCAGAAAAGCAACACGATTTACATGCCATTTTTAAAAATAAAGCTTAGTTCACTTTTGCTTCTTTCTTTTTTAATTGTGTTACAAATATGAAGATACGCATGGAAAGAAAGGCAGTGTTTTTGCAATGCATGACATTCTGTGTCGATTGCCTGCAAACCTTGCTGCATGCATTTCTTGCCTCGGCATGATTCTGGCGCTTGCTTTTGCTACCATATGAAAAAATCCAAATGGACATTTTGGAGCTTTTTGGGAAATGGAGTATTCATTTTCTGGGTTGCTTAAACTCCCTGTTTTGGAATGCTTGAATCCAAATATAGGAAATGAAAAAGGCAAGCATCATTTTCTAGGCTTCAGGCAATTCATTTAAAAAGAAGGTTAATGAGAGCTGTGGGTGCTTAAAATACATTTAAATAAGGGCCTACATTTAAGTGTTCAAATTTAGAACTCTGGCTTTGATTATTGTAGCCTCCAAATTATAGATACGGCCGAGAAAGGAAATGCAGCTCAATGAATGGCTCCTTGTATAATATGCATTGTAATTTTGGACAGGAGAGATTTAGGGACATCTCCGCCTGAGATCGGGGCCATGGCAGTCCACATCGGGGGGTATTTGCAAGCCTGTCCTGTTACAGCCCTCTTCCGGGGTCCTGCAAAACCGCCGGGCTCCTTCCCGTTGCTGGTAGGACAAGCCCCTCTGCGAGGGAGCAGTCTATCCCGTTGGAGAATGACCGGCTGAACGGCGCTCGGCTGGCGTTTTCCCACTGATGTGAGCGCACCTTTTGCCCGCATCTCAGCCCCCCATTTATCACACCACATCCAAGGAAACGCGCGTCTGAACGTGGTGGGGTGCCCGTCTTCCCTTTGTTAGAAGGCACTGTAGCTGGAGGGTCAGCGAGAGGGCAGCAGTGAAATTTTGCCATTTGCGGTGCGTGCCAAGAGCCACGTGCCCCCCCCACCCCGTGTTCACAAGGAGCCGTCACACGGGTGTTTGTGGTGCTGTTTCGCGGGCTTCTTTATTTCCAGATTGTCCATTGTTCTAATAGTGTGTGGCGTGGCGTGGGCGGAAAGCAATGCTTGGCTCGGAATAGCTGGATATAGTACTACGTTGTGTCTTCTGTTGTGTCTGCTAAAGAAAACATTATTATTGTAGGAAAGTGAATTTTTAATCTCAGTGGATGAAGAATATCGCAGTGCTCCAAAAACACCCATGCAGCAAACGATGAAAGGAAACGGGGGAAACGGAGTCTTCCATAGGCCTGTGTAGGAAAAAAGGATACATTAGGAAATCCTGTTGCCATTTCGGATGTTGGAGGCTGGGGCAGGTCTCTCCTGGCGGCAGGCCATCTTGCTTCCCCACTCGGCTCATTACGCCCAGTCGTGTGTTCCCAGTTTAAATGAAGCCCCTTCGAGCTCATTTCGCACTTCGCTGCCATTACGGAGAAGCGCCTCCTCTTCCAGACCATGGCAGCATTTTCTTGCCCTGCCACCTAAGCGTGGAGGTGCTTTGGAGCATGTGATGGGTGGTGGCCGGCCTGTCGGTGAGAGCGCGTCCTCGTTCTGTGGCCGTCCTGGCCGCCGGGTCCCTTGCTCTGTGGCCAGACAGCAAGCCAGGTGTGTTTGCGTGTGAGACCAGCATGTTTACACTGAACTTTCTTTTTTCTTCTTGCAGCAAGCACAACCCAACACGGACTGGCGTTTCTCTCAGGCGCAGAGACCAGGAACCAGCGGGTGAGTGAGTCCTGCCCTCTTCTTCTGCCCAGGCGCACCTTGATTTCAGCTCTGTCCTTAGGTGTGCGCTGGAAATATTTCTGAAAGCGGCGCTGTGGGTTTGGCTCTCCCCTGCTTCCTCGCTGGGTTTTTAGTTGGGAGGCAGTTCTTGCCTGCTGCTCATTCTATGGTACCCCGTTTCCCACAAACGGTGCTAAAATTGCCATCCTTCCATAGCAGAACTGCCTGCCACTGTTCTGCTGATCGCTGAACTTCTGTGCTTTATGAACTGTTACACCCTGTGCTGGAAATGTTGTAAAGGCAGTGTGTGTGTGCGCATGCGTGTGCAGCACACGCATTACAATGCATCGGGGCTGGCATGGGGTGAACCTCGGCCAGCGTCCGGCCACACTGACCCCCGTGCTGGCCCTGCGTCCAGGCGCTTCGGCTTGGAGTGGCCCAAGAGCCGACTCCGCGCTCCTGAGCCCGAGCCCGAGGACGGGCCAGGCAGATGCATCCAACGCGAGGAAGTCCGGCTGGCTCGGCGCCGTCACCCAGCCACCCGCGTTCCCGGGTCAGGCCACCCCTTCCGAGCTGCGTGACCCTGCCCTGGGGTGCCAAGGCTCCTGGAGGCGCCCAGAGGCGGCTCTCGCCTGGGCAGGAGGGGCCGTGCCTGCAGTTTGCACCACCGAAAAGGATCAGTGACCCACGTTCTGGTTCCCGCGCGACTGGGCTGCCGGAACGCGCTCGGCGTGGGGCTGCCCTTGGAGACGGGTCCTTCCGTTGGTTCAGAGCAGAGCGGCCAGGCTGCCAGCAGGGCCTGGGAGATGTTCGCATATAACGCCTGTCCTGCACCCTCTGCACCGGCTTCCAGTTGGAGGTGCTGGTGATGATGCATGCAGCCCTAAATGGCCCGGGGCCTGGACATTTGAAGGCGCGCCTCCTTCCATACATACAGCGCCTGCCCAGCCTCTAAGGTCGGGAGCGGAGGTCCTTCTTCGGGAGCCCCCTCTGAAGGCGGCCAGAAGAGGGGCTCTCTGGAGAAGGGCCTTCTCGGGGTGGCGCCCCAGCTGTAGAAAGGGCTCCCCAGAGGGGCTCACCTGGCACTAACACTTTTTCCATTTTGGCGCCAGGCCAAACCCTTTTTTTTTATTTCCCAGCATTTTAAAAGTTAGTATTGTTTTTAATATTGATTTTATATATTATTGTGATGCTGTGCATTCTTTATATTATTGCTACCCTGAGGCCCTGTAAAGGGTGGGATACAAAATGAGGACTGACTGACTGACTGAATGGGCCGTTTGCAGGAGCGCTGCTGAGGTGCCGAGCCCCCGATCCACACTGGGACCATGATGGGATCCCAGTCTGGCTTGTGGCTGCACGCAGGAATTGGCGGGGGCGCGGGGGGGACGCCCTGCTCAAGGCCAGAACCAGGCGGAGGAGCTGAGATGCTGAGTCTCCTCAGAGATGGCCATCCAGACATCTGTACGATTTCCAGTATTTTTTCTGAGTGGAGCACCTTAATACAAGTGGAATTTTGCACAGGAAGGCGATTCTTGCCTGGGGAGGGAATGACACAGAGACCCTCCCCACGGCATTCCTGCCTCATCCGGCAGCTGCTGAACTCGGAAGAGCCCTGTCGGGAAAGGGCCGCCTCTCCCAGCCTCACCCGCCCCAGTGTTGTTCGTGCTCGGAGCATCCTTTCCTCCGCTGCTCCTCCGCAGGGGGCCCTCCGATTTTCGGGGTGTCCCCGACAAGGGCAATGGGCCACTAGCTTTCCCTGTCAGGAGGCGCCCACGATGTCGCTCCAGAAGGGGGATGCTGCCGGGCTGCAGCTTCTCCTCCAGGCCGGCCTCCTTGACCTCCCAGAGCCGGTGGAGCCTCTCCTGGTGTGGAGATCATGCAAGCAAGAGGGGAAATGCTGCCAGATGCATTTCCTCTTCTCAGCTGCCCTTCAGCGGCCCCATTCTCCTCTCCTCTCCCAAGCAAGCCAGTGAAGGGCTGCTGTTCTTCATTTGCAATGCAATGCTGGAGGTTTGAAACCAGATTGCAAGCGTGCCTCGCCTCCTCCTGCTGCCAGGCAGTCGCTGAAAATGCAAGGAGGGAGAGCGATCGATCGCTGTATTCTGCTCTGCTGTGGCCTTTTGCTCCTGGCTGAACGCGCCCCGTCCCTTGCCAAAATGCCGCTTAAAGGGGGCCCGGAGCTCCCTGCCCAAACCCCTTTCTGCAGGAGAGAGGGCCTGGTGCGCTTGTGTGCTCGCCATGCAGATGGAGCCACGGGGGAAACGTTCGAGGCGCTCAGCTTCAGCCCTCCTCTCCTCGAAGAGGCTCTCACCAGGAAGAGGGTGTGCATCGCACCAGCCCCGTGCTGCGCGCAAATACTGCTCACACCCGGGCAGCGGTCGAGAGAAAGCAAGGAGAGAGCAGGTCTCTTTGGGCCCTCCACTGATCAAGGCCCAGGACCGAGATGGGCCGTGCTTGGGCATCCTGCAGCGTTGCCGTGCCAGCACCACCAGGGCCCTGATCGCCACAGTTGTGCAACTCCTGCTGTTGTGCAAGTGTGACTTGAGCAAAGGGAAAGCAGTCTTGTTTACGCAAAAGCCTGCTTTAAAAGTTTGCCAGCCACCGACAGGGATTGGGATCCCGGCTGCCAGGCCGAGCTTGACAGTCTCCCGGAAAGAAAGGAGAAGGGACAGAGAGCTGCAGGGAGCTGAGGAAGCCTCGTGACCGTGGTGGGGAAAGGAGGCCAGTCCACCCGGCCGGGTGTCTCCTCGGACACTAGCAGGGTAACCAGGCAGGGGGCGGGCGACCCCGGTGAGCCCGACCCTCTGTCGGCACATCGTGGCTTCGCGGCACAAGCGGCTTCCCCGTCCGGGAGCCTGTGGCACGTGGGACTTGCCTGCGGATTTCTGCACAGCCAGATGGTGAGGCTCTGCACGAAGCGAGGCGGGTTTTCTCCGAGCAGAGTCTCAGCAGGTGACCCTTCCTGCCCCCTTGGCCAAAGGCTGTGTGATGGCTATGGGGACGCAGGCGGTGCCAGGAGGAGCCAGCGGGGGGTGCGGGTCAGTGGGGCTCGGGGCAGCCCGGCAGGTGGGATCATGGCTTCCCTGCCCTCCACAGCCGGAGTCCCATGGCCTTTTCTGCCGTCCTCAGACACTCCCTGCGCCAGCCAGCCGTCGTTTCTCGCTGAAGGCGATCCTTCGTCCCCTGCTTTTGTTGTTGTTGTTATTCCGTCTAATACTTCATGCGCCTTCAATAAAAATATGCACAGGGAAGCTCAAAACAACTGTGGAAGTGACCACTGAAAGCAAGCCGACTGGCCACAAAAGAGCCCCCATCCCTGCCCGGCTCTTCCAGAAGCAGCCAGGAAAGCGCCCCCTCCTTCTCCCAAGAATGCAGCCTTCCTCCGCTGACGGCTGCCAGCACCCGCCGTAGGCCCTTCCTCCCCTCCGCGTGGCTTGAAGCACAAAGAAACTGCTGAGGCCACTGCTCTTCCAGAAAGGGAAGCGGGAGATCTGCCCCCCCCCCCCCCCCCCCCGCCCACCAGCCAGCAGCCTTTCTCTTCCACCTCCCAAATTTCCCAGAAGTGCCAGCCCAGCGCTTGGAACCGTGCTAGGCACAGGGCGTCTTCTTCTCGGGGGCCCTTCCCCAGGCCGGTGCTCTCCAGAGGCTTTGTTTGTTTGTTTTCCGCACTGCCCATCTGGACTTCATCTCCCATCAGCCCAAGCCAGGATGGCCAACAGTGAGGAATGCCGGGAGGTCAAAACATCTGGAGGGCGTTAGGTGGGGAAGCCTCCTTGAGGGTCTCCTTGACCTGCTCAGGTGGCACAGGATCGTGGGACAGTGGAGTAGGGAGGGACCACGGAGGCCGGCCAGGCAGGGCCTGGCTCAGCACAGGGCTCCAAGGAAAGGCAGCGCTCCCAGGCGGCTTCCCGAGCGAGCTCCGTGCCTGCGTTCCTTGGAGTCCTGCTCAGGCAGGGAACTGTTCCTGATGCTCAGCCAGAGCGTGGCTTCCTGTAACTTGAGCTGATGAGCCCGAAGAGGCCCTGGCCCTCTCTCAGTGACAGCCGCTCGATCACCCTCAAGAAGGAGACGATGGAAGGAAACAGGGACGGACCGACTCCCCAGAGGAAGCCGAGCAGGGCAGCGGCCACGGAGGGCTTTTGTGCATGGCGTGGCCACACCAGGGACGCCTTGATGGCATGTCGCGCCAGCAAGAGCAAAATCCCCGTCAGTCCTCTCCAGGCTAAGCGGACTCGGCTCTTCCAGCTCCCCAAAACCAATTTTCCAGTATCCAGACCCTACCGGTTGCCCTTCTCCAAGATGACCCCGCTCCGCCTGCATCTTTCTTAACCACGGTGCCTGGACACGGCGTTCAGGATGAGCAGAACGCCCCTGAGCACCGGGAGCAAGTGCTTCCCGTGGCTTGGGAGGGGCCCTGCCCTCAGTGCAGCCGAAAAGCCTTCGCCCCATGGGCGGCTGTTCGTGCTGTGGACTCGTGTCCAGCCTGCGATCTGCAACAATCCCACGGCCCCCCTCACTTGCAGCACTGGGGGGCATTCCCCATCTTGGAACGGCGACCGGTTCCCTTTTCCCAGGAGCAGAACTTGGCATTGGTCCCTGTGGAACTGAATTCCTTCGGATGCTTTCAGCGCCTCAACCTTTGAAATGGGCCCCATCCTCCGGGCCGTTAGCTGTCCCTCTCAGTGCTGTGTCGTTTGCAAGTCTCATCCGTGTTCACTGCACTTCTTCAGCCAAGTCGACCAGGAAAAGGCCGAAGAGCCCGGGGCCCAGGACGGAGCCCTGGGGACCCACCCGGCGCTCCCCACAGTCTGCGAAGGCGCCACAGGGGAGCCCTCTCTGGTCCGAGTCCGTGGCGAAGGGCGGGTCCACTGCCAGGGGCAAAAAGTCCCCTCCAGCCCCTGCCCCCCAGAATGCCGCCCGCCTTTGAACCCCAGCACTTCTTGGCGTTTGCCCCCATGGAGTGCCCACAAGGCCGTGCAGGTGCTCGGCGGCCCCCGGTGCCTGGCCAGGGGAAGATGCCTTCTCCAAGGCCCCAAATTCGCCCAGGGTGGGGGCGGGGAGGCAGGGTGCGCAGCTGGTCCTGGGGCCGCGAGGGACGGGGTGCCCGGCTTTGGGGCTCCCTCCTCCGAAGGCTGCCTTAGGCTACACCGCCCCCCCCCCCCAGCCTGCTCCCCGAGAACCTGCAGAGGCACTCTACAAAGTCGATCCGGCCGGCCGGCCGGCGATGATGCTTCCTCGGATGAAGCATCTGCGATGCAGCATGTTGCCATGGAAACTGCCAGGGTGCCGGCTGCACTGGCTGCCCCACCGAGCCGTGGAGGGGCTTGGAGGGAAAGGCTGTACTCGGTGAGTGGGGGGGAAAGAGCCCCTTCCCTCCCCTCCTCCTCCTCCTGCGTGTGGAAGCTCTGCAGGGGCTTGGAGGCGAGCGCAGGCATCAGCCGCCCTGCGCGCTTGGCCGGTTCCTTTCGCTTGGCCTGGTGACCCGCCTGCACGGACTGGTTTGCGTGTGATGGGCCCTCAGAGGCCTCTTGCCTCCCTCGCAGTGCAAGGAGGAAGGACCTTGCTGGATGGTCCGTTTCGCCCAGCCAGCAGCACCCGCCCCCCAGCCACCTCTTGCAAGCCGGGGCCCCCTCCCCCCAGGGCACAGAATCTTCTGGAAGGTCCAAGAAATCAGAGGGAAATTCAGCCCTAGATGAGCAACGCTGAAAGACAAACAGGGACACTCGCTGTCCATGCAGGAGAAAACAAAGGGAAGTAGAAAGCAGTCTGGTGAACAGACAAGAAGCTGCCTTTAGGGAAGAGTGTGGAAAAAACGGAAGGTTTCCCTGTAAGCGAAGGTGTCCAGAAAGGCTGCATTTAATCTCCCTGACTGTTTATTCTGTATGTGAAAGACAAAAATGCCGAAGCCAAAGCAGTGCTGCAGCTGAACATTAAGAAAACAAAAGTTCTGAATTGCACAGCTATAAGGTCACAGTGAAGAAACTGAAATTGCGAAAGCTTCGCATGCCGTGGCTCAGTCATCAGTGGCAGCCAAGAAACACAAGGCTGCAGCCAAGAAATACGAAGGAGGCGGTGACTCGGAAGGGCAGCAGGGAAGGAACTGGGAATATCCTCCGGCATGAGCCTGTTTCCCTGGGGACCGAGGCCAAGCTCACCCGCCCGCTCGCCTCCCAGTCGCTGTGTGCGCGGCGAGAGCCGGACAGCGTGGGAGGCCGGTCGGAGGGAGCGATGTGGCTGGTGGCTGGCACACTGCGAACCCAGCCGGGCCTCTCCCGGGAAGCCAAAGTGGCTTTTGCCTCTTGAGGCGGGTGTGCTTTGAGCCCTCATGGGAAGGCAGGACTCCCTGGGGAGGGCAGTCCTTCTAGGGAAAGCAGAAGGCGGAAGAGGAGGAGGAGGACTTGCTAAGCGATGGATCAGGGCCATCAAGGAAGCCACCGGTTTGCAACAGCTGAGCAGGGCTGTGGAGCAGGATGCGTTGGAGACGTTCACTGCTCGGGACGCCGTAAGTCAGGGACGACTTGATGGCTCATACCATCAGCAACAGGAAGCAAGAGCGCTTTGCCATGCGCGGAATTAACAACGAGGGCTCGCAGAGCGACGGCATCTCTCTCACCCGGACGGTGGGCACCGCACTGTTCTCCGACGCATCCCTGCCCGCCCTTTCTTGAGCCTGATTGGTGTGTCTTCTTGGCTCTCCTCTCTGGCTTGCACCTCCGTGCGCTTGCCCCGGAGGAGGGCGCACGGAGACAAGGAGGCAGGCTCTGCCCCAGCCACGGAGGGGGAGGGAGCGCTTTGGGGCCCCGCGCTCTTGGCGGTCCACCTGTCCTACATCAGCGGGGCCGACTGCCGAGCACGCACACCGGGGCTGCCTGCACGTCGGGGCCAGAAGCGGACGGCAAAACGTTCAAATGCTGGAGCTTCGGCGCTCAAATGACTGCCCAGAAAGAAATGCTAAAGCAGGCACAGTGTGCAGTGTGTTGGTGGCCTCGGGGGTCTGCCGGGGCACCTTGATTCGGGGATGTTGCTCATTTTGCACGCCCAGCTGGCCTTTACCCGAGGCGAGAGACCGGCGGTGCGGCGACCCGGTTGCGTCTCTTGCAGGAGGCAGAGCTTCGCGAGGGGGAGGGGCGCTCCTTCTGCTTGGCATTGTGTGGGCATTGCTAAAAAATGAAATCCATTTAGTGGTTTTGAGAAAGAGGTGGTCGGTCACAAAACCCACTCGGACCTTACGCCCCAGCATGGAATTCCAGCCTTCTAATCCAACGTGCCTGCAACTGATCTGCCATTACTCATCGTTGGCAAAAATACTCTGTACATGTCCAGATATGTGCGCATTCCTGAACTTATTGCGGGACTGATTCTGGGCAGTGGAAGTAGCTGCTTGGACTGGAGCCCTTGTGAGCGTTGACTCAGAATGAAGCCTTGCGGAAGCCGTCATTTTGAGTCCTGAGCTTCTGAGCAGTCAGGCGAGGTTTGGCCAGGATCCCCTCCAGAAATGGGGCAGAAAAGCTGCAAGGTGCTTGGCACAGTTGGCTCCTCCATGCATCAGGAGAGTTGTTGTTGTTGTTGTTTTTAGTCGCGAAGTCATGTCCGACCCATCGCGACCCCATGGACAGCACTCCTCCAGGCCTCCACCATCCCCCGGAGTCCACCCAAGCTCACGCCAACTGCTTCCGTGACTCCATCCGGCCAGCTCATCCTCTGCCGCCCCCTCCTTCTTTTGAGAGTCCGGTACCCAAAAGCTACTGGCACAGCGGCTCTGCTTTGTCTGCCTGAGCCACCCGTCCAAGCGGCCCCCACTGGCATCGGGTCCCAGCTCACCCGCAGGCACCAGTCCCGCCAAATAGCCAGCCACTCCTTTGCGTTGCGTTGCTGCTCAATGCTCAGGCTGAGCCAGCCCTCCAGGTGTGTCTGGGGCTCCCCCCGCTCCAGCCGCCCGTCTGCCTTGGCCAAGCTGGCTGAGGATGATGGGAGTGGGAGCTGATGCAGGCAGAGGGTGCCAGGTCGGGAGGGCCGAGAAACCCTGCGGGATCTGATGGGAAGGAGGACCGCTCTCCATGCACGCCGCCTGCTCCCCTGGACCACTTCTAACGCTCCGCTTTCCCCTTTTCTCTGTAGGTCACAGAATGGAGATGAAAATGGGACATGGCCGAACAACCAGTTTGATACCGAAATGCTCCAGGCCATGATCCTGGCTTCAGCAAACGGTCAGTGCCTGCTGTTTCCATGATGCGAATTGCATGACTTGGAGCTCTGCAAAAGCATTTTGTGTGCCTGCTTGTAAAAGTTTATGCAAAACTGTGAAAAATTTGGAGTGGGAGGCAAGGGAGCTGAGCGGGCTTCCCTCCGTGTGCTTCTTAAAGAGGCCGCATTGAAGCTTCAGCGCCGTTCTTGCAGAATTATGCAGCAGTTGGAAGCTTGGCTGGTCGGCAGCCCGTTTGTAGATTCCTATGTCCGTAATCTTGCTATAATACATGCAAGATTTTGGGTTGACATTGGAATGTCGCTGGCTGGGGCCTGGGGCCAATTTCAGGTAACTCTCACAGAGTCGTCTTTCCTTATTTTGTCACCTTACGCAAAAAAACCTCATTAGACAGTCAGGGCCAACAGGAGCTCAGGCTGTGTTAGGAGGGCGAGAGACACTTCGGAATTAGAGTGCTTTATGTTACATTTTTGAAAGAGAAAAAAAATGTGGCTCTCCAGCTCTGCTCTGCGACGAGTCTTTGTAAACACTGGATTGGGAGGCACATATGTTTATCATTATCTCCCAGCAACTCCAGATCCAATTTCACTGCTTCACAAAGACCAGGATTACTTCCTGAACGCTCTGCTGCAGCGAGCAAGACGCCCTCCCGAGGCTGCTGGTGGCCCAGAAGGGAAGCAAGCAAACCCTCTTCCCCTTCTAAAAGGGGCAGCATTCCCTCTGCCCCGATGTAGCGTGCAGGGAGCTTCCATGCAGGTTTAGAGGAGGGCTGGCCGACAACCAATCGATAACCTCTTGGTTAATTGATGGATCAGTTCAGCTTTCAGAACGGGCATATTTTGAAATATTGTTCAAAATCTGCCTGTTCAAAACCTCTTCAAATCCCTCTGCGGGGAAAGGAAGTCGCATGCCCTGATTTGGAAGAGGAGCAAGAGGGAGAAATGCTCGTTCGACGTGGGGCCTGTGGCAGTTCTTGAGTGGCATCTCGTCGGTGGGCTCAGTCCCGCCCCGAGTCGAGCCGCCCGTTGGCATCCAAGGAGGCTTGTGAGGGCCGTGGCGAAAAGTGCCGCCTTTCCCTTTAACAGGCGCAGGGCAGCCTGCCTGCTCGCTCTAATCCAGCATTAGTGGAAGCGCTCTGGGCGGGGAATAAAGCCGGAGGAGGGTGAGGAGGGAGCCGCGGCCGATGCCACGCCATGGAGTCCACATTTCCGCCGGGGCCTTAAGACGGAAGGGGCGATGAGGCCAAGGCGTTCGCTTCGCGTTGGCTTTGCCGGGTTCTGTGCAGGGTTCAGAGTCCATCCTGGTTACGGAGGGATCCTAAACCAGGCGGATTTGCACCATCGGAAGAGAGACTTCACTGTCTGCAGTTGCGTTCCCCAGCTGCAGCTCTACGGGGAATCTCCCCATGGATAGTTGTGGGTCCAGACGATAACCTGAAAGTGATCACTGGCTTTGTAAATGTGATACAGTCTACTTTAATTAATTAACAAATTTCTATACCACTGGCTGGTCGAGATGGCACTCCAGGCTGTTCACATAATCGAATTGCACAAATCAAGAACAATGCATTAAAAGCAAAGACGAATAATAAATCAGTCTAAAAACAGCACTAAAATGACGATGACGACGACAGGCTCACAAGACATCCCTGGAAGTAATGTTCGGGTCGATCCAGGGTGCAGGCAGCAGTAAAATAAAGCAACATCTAAACAGAACAAAAAGCTAATATGAAAATTAGCATGATTAACTGTTAAAATATTGAATGACTGAGAAGGTTTTTGCCTGGCGCCAAAAGGAACGACGAGCTCCTTGGGGAGCTGGTTCCATGTCTGGGGCTCCACGGCTGAGAAGGCCCTTCCCCTCACAGCCACCTTCTCCGGCCGAGTTTCTCTCCACGCCAAGAAGCTGCATGTTCGAACGAAGCCTGGAGACAAGTCTGGCAAACAGCCGGATGTTATATTTTCACAAATGGGGGATTAGCCATGGCCCCGTTCCTTCATCCCGGCATGCCTGCGTGCAACCTGAAACCCGCTCAGCCTTCAGCTCCCGCCTTCTGTGGCAAGACTGGGCCTCAATGCTGGTTCTGCGCTCCGGCATGGGCCAGCCCCCGCCCCCGCCTCGCGCGGCTTCGCCCGCCGACGGAGCGCACTCAAGAGCACGCGCAGGTGTGGGACAGTCCCGCAGCCCAGTGCCGCTCGCTGTCGTGGGGCAACCCGTGCAAGTTCAGGCGGAAACGCCGGCAAGGAAGCCCTCTGAGCCACAGGGCCTGTCGAAACAGGCGTGAGGCCGCGCCGGGGAACAGGCAGGAGCGGAGGAGACGCGTGGGAAAGCCCTCTACTCCTCCCTCCCATGCCGAGCTTCGCGCTGCACCCCACACGCCCTGGAAAGGGTGCATCACCCAGTCACAGCTAGTAAGCCTGTTCACGGCAGATTCCGCCCTGTTGAACTTAGTGGGACATCAGAATAAATAGGGTTTGGCTGTGCCACATGTCACATCGGCGGAAGCAAAATCGGCTTCTGTCCAGGCAGTGCAGCTGAACTGGCATGTGACTCAGACTGGTAGGGGATGATGAACTACCCCGGCGCGTAATCCTAGAGATGGCCAGTCCCTATAAGCGAAATGCAATTAGTCACCGGGAGGCGAGGGAGGGGCCGAGCGGTGGCTCTCCCTGTTGGAGCAGGCGGCTCTCCCTGCAAGCGGGCGCATTCCGGGCCGGATGCGGGCTCCAGCATGCAGAGGCGCTGCTGGCCACAAGTGGCCCTCCGCCAGCCGCCGAGCCCCGGACGGGGCACGCAGGGCGAGGGGGGCTGCCATTTGGAGCCTGCTCCCCCTCGGGGGCCCTTTGGAGTGTTTCTGGGGGGCAGCAGCCCACGGATCTTCCGCGCTCCGCTCTGGGCTCCAGCGAGCGTGCCTTGCAGCCCACGCAGGGGTTCCTGGGCCACCTGGCGCTGGGGAACTCCGGGCCCCTTGCGGGCTGGATCACTCACTGCAGCAGGCTCGGGGGCGCCCTCCGGCCAGGAGGGGCGAAGCAGGACAGGCCGGTGCCGTGGCCCAGCCTCCTGCCGAGGCGGCAGCAACAGTGGGCGGGCGGGCGGGGGCCGGAGGGGTGGAGACACCCAAGCTCGTGGCAGAAGGGCCTGGATCTCCGCCTTTATTTTATTTTATTTATTCATTTAAAACATTTCTATGCTGCCCCCATTGCAGCAAAGCCTCGGGGCGGCTCACAATATCCAAACATAAAAATACAATCAATAATTTAAAAACTGGTACCATCTCAACTATATATATTAAAATCTATAAATACAATAATAATAAATTAACAGTTAAAATAACTTTTAAATAAAAAGGTCTTCACCTGGCGCCGCAAAGCAAATAATGACAGTGCCAGGGGGACCTCTCTGGGGAGCGCATTCCATAGATTGGGTGCCACCACAGAAAAGGCCCTCCTCTGGGTACTCACCCTCCTAATATCCTTCACGGAGGGTTCCCGGAGAAGGGCCTCTCCCGCCGATCTCAGGGGGCGGGCGGGCATATACGGACACCTTTGACGTGGGTGGGGTGGCGTTTTAGTCCCAAGTGAGGCAGAGTGGAATAGAACCCGCATCTGTTCATTCACGGGGGCAGATGGCGCGGGCTGGGGCAGGCATCCAGTCTGTGTGGAGGAAATGGGGCAGAGGTGGGAGCAGCAACGGGGGGCGCCCTCCGTGGCGGGGCACCAGGCCCGGGGGAAGGGCAGACCGTGGGGCGGGGAAGGGCTTCCAGTACTGGGGATCCTGCCGCACCTGGGAGAGGACCGGGAGGCGGTGCCCCGAGGGCCGGGGCCGGGGAGCTTCAGCCAGGCAGCAGCCGCCGCAGGCGCCCCGAGGGATGCCGAGGCCCCGAGTCACAAGTGGGTGAAGACCAGGGCAGCCTGTCTGCGTGCGCAGTAGGGCAGGATCCGGGGACGCTGCCCCGGGGGAGGGGGTCTCAGCAGTCGCGAAGGCCCTGCCAAGGACGGGGAGGCGTGCGGTGCAAGCCGGCTTGCGGCAGTGCCCCGGCAGCTACTTGGACCACTTCGTGGGCACCAGCACGCCCGCCCGCCCGCCCAAAGGGCTCCCGAGTCTCCTCCTGCTCAGGCAGTTACTGAGCCGGGGTGACGGTCCATTCTCAGGTGGCCCTTCAGAGCGCAATTTTCAGTCCGGTTCCCAGCATCCCATTTCATGGGCCAAGCAGGGGAAAGGCTTCTGCACCCCCCCCACCCGTTGCGCATGTAGGCCCACCCCGGCCAACGCCGCTTCTCCCGACCTTGGAGTCTTCTCGTGCCAGGCAGCTGCTCAAGCGCGAAAGGGAGCAAGGACCACCCCCGTGCCGCTGCGCTTCCCGTGCGCAGTGCCTGAGGGGGCCGGGCTTGGCCCCCATCCCAGAGCCCCTTGGTGCAGCCGGGAGCGCGACGGCTTCCTCGCTGTTCGGGGCATGGCAGTGTGCTCCCGCTGAGGAGCGGGGCTTTCCCCCGAGGAACTGCGCCGCTTGTGGATCTTGGCGGCTCGGCCCGCGAGCTGGAGGCAGGGATGCCCGGCGGCAGGCCCTGCCGGCCGCTGAGATCCCGGGAGGCAGCCCCGTCCGTCTCCGGGGCTTTGTTTCCACGGGACGATGCGCCGCAGCTTCGTCCTGGCATGCCAAGGGCTCTTGGGAAAACAGGAGCACTGAGCGGCGGCGGCAGCAGGGGAGGCCCGGCATTTCTAGGCATAGTGGGGGAAGAGGGGGGAGACTGGCATGGCTTCTTGGGGACACCGGAAGCCCAGGAGGGGGTGCAGGTATCCAGCAGTGGGAGCCAAATAGGTGGGGCCCCCACCCCCGGTTGCCGTGCCTTTCTCTCGTTATGCAGAAGGCATCCTCAAGAGACTGTGGTGACCAGTCGCGGGTGGTGCTGTCTGCCAATCCCACCCCCAGCCATCGGCGTGGCTGCGACTGTCCATATGGCCCAGGAGCTTTGTGTGGAAGGGGAGCAGTGATGACCTTATTATGCACAGGCTTTGAAGTGCCCGAGTCCCTTCCAGGAATTAGAAAACCGGGGCTTTGGAAACATCAAAGAGACGTCCCCCGGGCCCTTTCCCTGTGGCACTCCGATAGGGAGCGGAGCACGGCGCGGATCTGAATAAAAGCATCCACGGAAAATTAGGAGTCCTGAAGGGCTTAATTCTGCAGCCTCGCAATGTTTGGGGGAGGGGGGTTCTTGTTAAAAGGAAAAGGCTTTTAAGATCTAAGCTGATGAAGCAAGACGGCCCGGGGTGGGCGTGGGGACGATGGGGTGGCGTTCCGTGGCCCAACGGGGCAGTGGAATGCCTGTCCGGGGGGGGGGGGGTTGCAGTCGCCAGCTGTCCCCCGGCCCCGGCGGGTCTCGCCCAGCGGTGCCGTCGCTGAGGAATGAAGGCCGCAGCTCAGGCGGGGGCGGGATCCCCCGTTCCTCCAGCAGGAATTCCGCTCGAGGGAGAGGAGGCCGCCTCTGTTGGCGTCCCGCCTGCGGAGATGCCCGTCTTCTCTCCCTGCGGGCCGTTGGAGCAGAGGGCCCGGGCCAGGCCAGCGGGCATTGTGCAGGGCAAGGGAGGCAGCCGTGAGGCTGCACTTCCGGCAAGGCGGGTAGTCCCTACCAAAGGAGAAAGCCCGTGTGGGGCGGGGAGGGCCTCCCTCCAGCTCAGCACCTGAGAACGGCCCTGTCTTGCTTGGGCGGCCAGCCAGGCCCCCTTTTTTGTGGCTCCTTCGCCCCTGGCGGGAGGCGCTCCAGAAACAAGTCCCTGGAAGAGGCCACCCCACGGGCGGCTGAGTCCCCACAAGGGCACGTTCCCGGCCCCCAGGAGTCCATCTGTGTCCCTTATGGAACGGCGTCTGATCGCAGCGTATTGTAAAAGGGGTCTGTAGCTCTTCTAAACCGTCTGTTGCAAATGGAGAGCTTCACACTCCAGTGCAAGAAAAGCAGCAGGAATGAGGAGAAGCGGAACGTCGCCCGCTCGCGGTCCAGGCTGCGCAAGAACAGCTGGGCCTCGCTGGCCAAATCCGGTGCCGCAGGGAGGGCGCAGAGCGATGCTTTTGATCCCACAAGCAGCCCCGCTTCTGCTCCCTTCCCCTCTTCCTTTGCATTTGGAGCCATTCCCAGGAACCCAGGAAGGTCTGGCACAGGCACCCGCTCCTGGGAGTTCGGCGTTCACGTCTTGAGGGGGTTTGCTCTGCTTGCTCATCCTGAAAGTGCCTTTCTGTTTTCTGTGCTGGGCATGTTTTCAATTTGTGCAATGCCATACTGCAAGCTAAGCACAAATCTTTGTGCCAGTAGCTCTTCTCCTGCAGAAAACTGGCTTCTGACGACAGGTTTCTGCTCAAATACAGGGCAGAATCTCTCAAAAAAATAAGGAAGTTAAGCTCCACCGGGAAAGAAATGGAAGCAGTGCTTCATGTCTCAAATCAGGGATGAATATTTGCACACTGCTCTGAATAGACTTCGGAGGGAGGCGGGGCAGAAACATCTTTTAACTGTTGCTGCACATGCCTCACGTTAAGCCCCGAGTTAGAAGCAGCGGGGAAATTCCAGATCTTCAAAGCGCTCGGCAGCCTTCCATGCCTCTGGGATCGTAACGGGGAATGCACAAGCCGAGGGAACGGGGCAGATCCGACCCAGGCGGTGAGGTCCTGTGGGGATCTGCCTTCCCCGGGCGTTGCGGTCCAGCCGGAGGAAGGCCTCCCAGATCCAGATGTCTGGGTTCAGAGGTGCCCCACGGAGGACGGGCTGCGGCCGCCCCGACAAGCGCCTGCCGGAGGAGGAGGGGGCCAGCACATGGTCCTAGGCCAGTGAGGCCGGGTCCAGGAGCACCCCCACAGGATCCGCTGGCCCTGCCAACGGTCCCCGCCCCGCCCCTCCAGGGCAGGCAGGAATCCTGGCCCAGCATCCACGGAGCCTGCTCCTGGCCCCCAGGCACTGACTCAGAGCAGCCCCCCCCCCCACCTGGAGCTGGGGAAGGCGAGGCGCGCTGGACTCATCCCCACCTCGCCTGGACAGGGGCCTGCTGCTCGACTGAGCTCCACCTCTGCCCATGCCCGGGAGCCCAAGGGACCAGCTGTGCAAGTGGGGAAAGGCTGCGGGAGGGATTCGGCTGCCGGCCAGAGCTGGAGTGACAGGGATTCGGGGCGCTTCTCCGTCAGGCGCGCAGGTCAGCTGTTCCGCAGGCCCCGCGGGGGGTGGGGGCGCCCAGGTCCCTCGGCGGTTTCCATAGCCGGGCGCTGTGTGCGTGGCTGTCGTGGGTCCCTGAGCCCTCACAGGAACTGGCAGCACCCCACCAGCTGACCGAGGCAGCCCGGACGCCTGGGGCCCGCCAGGGGCCCGCAGCCAGCCGCCCGAGTGGCCGCTGCCCCCCGCCCCCTCACCTCTCCTTCCTTGTGCCCCTGCAGAAGCCGCCGCCGCCGCCGCGGCCAACCCAGACGGGGGCTCGACGCTGGGAGGAGGCGCGGCCGCAGGCACCATGGGCCTCAGCGCCAGGTACGGCCCCCAGTTCACACTGCAGCACGTCCCGGACTACCGGCAGAACGTGTACATCCCGGGAGGCACGTCCACCCTCTCCACCTCCGCGGGCAAGCGTGACGGGAAGCCCGCGGCCTCCGGAGGGGGCAACAAGAAGAAGTCGGGGAAGAAGGAGAAGAAGTAGGGCCGCCGCACGGCCCCCCGCTGCCTCCGGCCCCCAGGCAGGCGCTCCCCCAGTTCCCAGCCCGGGACAGAGAATGAACGTGAGTCCCGGTTAGCAGCAACTGAAGATCAAGCATTGATGCTGCTAATCCGCGGCACTGGTGTCAACGTGGCTCTGCGTAGGTTTCCTGCTGCTAGTCCTCAAGATGCAAAAACAGCACTGCCCTGTGAATCGTGATGAGTATGCTTTATATTCTCTGTAGGGTGATCTCTCATGCCAGGTGTCTGATCTCTGAAACCTTTCCTCCAGCTGCTTTGCTCCAGAGGGACCTGCAGGACCTACGAGGCTTTGGGCGGGCTCTGTCCACTGTAAATAATTCTTCTGGGGGGGTGGGGGCGGCCGAGGTGGTGTATATTTCTACATTTCCTCCCCCTCCCCCTTTTTATGTACATTCTCTCTTTCCCAGATTGGGGGAGAGGGAAACCCATCTCAACTGGAACCTTGTTATGAATGGGGGGGAGGGGGGGCTTTGCTTCCTGCTTCGTTTCAAAGGAATGAGCTCTCATCCTGCTTCATCGCCAGGGAATGACATTCCGCTGTGTTGTAAACACGCCTGAGTTTTTCAAAGTCCCACGGCTGAGATACATGAGTCGGGGGTGGGGGGGCTGGAAAGGCCGGCTCGGGCTCGGGGGCCTCCCGGGGGCAGGGGGTGCCATGGCGGGCAGCGAGACGGCCCTGACCAGTGCTGGGGCAGGGACCTCCGCGGAGGCGGCCGTCTCACCTGCGCTGCGGCCCGCAGCTATTATGAGTGGCGTGAATATCGCTGGCCCCCTCCGCCGCTCCTTCACGCCCCGCGCCGTCTCTGCTCACTCCACGAAGCAGAATGTGTCACGTGGTCCTGAGCACCAGCTGCATGCGTGCGTCCTCCTCACCGGCCTCACCCGCCAGCACAGACAAATCACTGCATGCCCCCACCAGCACGATGGGGACCGGTTGCCACCGGCCGCCTCCTGGTGCCCCCAAGCCTTGTCTGTCCGTGAGCCCAGTCCCGGGAAAGAGGCGCGCTCTGGGCTGGCACGCTGCGAAGCCTGCATGTCCCATGTGCCTGTGCGGCATAGCCAAGAAGCTCCTGGGTTCGCGGCCTTCCCAGAGGGAGAGGGAGCGCACGGGAGCTGGTCTGAGGAAAGAAGGGGGCCAGGCCCGGGCCAAGAACACTGCCCTGGAGCCAGGCAGGGACTCCCAGGCCAGGCATGTCTGACAATCCAACCCAAAGGCCGAGCTCCAAACCTCACGGGGACGGCAGAGCACCAGTGCACCCAAGGCCCTTGGCAGCGTCCCCCGCCCGTCTCCGGACGCAGCTGTGCTGGATTTCAGACAAAGCCCTTTGCTTTGGTGATTCGAGATTACTCGTTTCGGGGGTTCACCACATCGTTTCCCAGCCTAGCGTGGGCCTTGGCGGCTCCGCCGGGGCTTCAGGGCCGGGCTGTGCCGCGCAGTCTTGGCATGCCTGCCCGGGACACGTGCCTCACCTGCTTCCCCCCGGCTTCCCGCCTCGCAGGGCTGGGCACGACGGCGGAGAAGCCCGTGTCCCCGGCAAGGGAGGGCAGCTGCCAGCCCAAGAGTGGGCTCATTCTCCCTCAACCACCGTGCACAGCTGGCCAGGGAGGGCCCCTCGGGTCGAGCAGCTGGCCGCCTTCCGAGCCGTCGCAGCCGGGCCTCGCCGGCCGGGCAGCCTTCCTGGCAGAGCTCTCGGCGCACCGGCGGCTGCCTCCTCCTGCACCTCTGGGAAGCGGGCCTGGAGACCTTTGTACTGATCCCCATCACCCCCCACCCCGTGTTTACATTGTTAGTGAAAAACACCCACTCCGGCAGGAAGGCGTTCCGCACAAGCCCCTGAAATCGGCAGGCACCCGCAGGGGCCCGGGGGGCCTTCCCAGAGCACCTCCTCACCTTGGAGGGGCGTGTGCCCCCGCAGCTCCGGCCAGTTGTGCTCAAGCTTATTGTGTGAAGTAGCTCTCACAAGCCCCTCCTTGAAAGTACTGTAGATAAGCTTTAGTCACCCTCTTTTTCCGTTTAATCCGCAAGCTGAAAGTAGTCTAGTGGTGCTGCAGACTTAGTGGCGTGCAGTTTTCCGTTCTTTTTCAAACTCTTAGTAATTGAGTTGTGGACATCAATATTTTTTTATCCTGTACCTTCTTAATGTGTGTTCTCTGTGCTCTGAAATGTATGTGACTTGAAACACACTTAGTTGTCCTTTCGACGTGTCTAATATTGAACTTGCTTATCTATTATATATATGCCATTTATATGCCATCTTACATCCATTTAGACTGACGTTGATGTGTAACACGCAAGTTTTATACTCTGATATTTATATTGCTCTTTTTTCTTTGGGAAAAATAATAAAGTTTTTTCTTCTGATGCGTTGCTGAGTTCTTTGGAAGACACATTCGAGCTGAAGGGCAAGATTATTTCCACCAGAGATGTCCCAGAGATACCCTTTTTCTCGAGTGTTGAAGGTTCTGCGGGATCCTGCATGGTTCCAGGAACACCTGGGAGAAGACAGCGGGGCAGAAGGGAGGCTGGGATGCAAGCAGGCTGGATGCAACCATCCTGCAGCACCCGAAGGGCATCTTTCTTAGAGCCTTTGGCCAATGGCTGCCCATCTCGGCCCAGTATCGGCCTGCAGGTGTGCGCAGTCGCCCAGTTGAGCGTCTGGGGCCGTGGCAGATGCAGTCAGTGCGTGATGGCTCACCCTCTGTAAAGCGGCCACGTGCAAAAAGGCGTGGCAGTAACAGCAGCGGCCCGTCAGCCACAGCAAGCTGCTGCGGGCACAGCCGGGTTCGTGTGGACGGGGCCGCGAGACTTTTCCTCGCGCTTGCTTGGCTGCTCGTCTACAAAGGAGACGAGGGCAGGGCTGGGAGGTCGTGCCAGGGAACATTTTCACTGCTGTGGAAGAAGAGCCGAGCCCTGCAGCGGGCAGAGGCTGCAGGCAAGGCCAGCGCAAGCCCCAGGAGCTGAAAAGCCCCCCCCCCCCGCCCCGCAGACCGAGTGGCCCGTGGTGGGAGTGGGCCCCACTGGAGCCGTGCAGGTGGTGTCCGGCCACGGAGGGGCGGTGGCTAGGAGGGCGGCACTGGTCTCCGTGCCCTGCGGGAACACACTTTGGCAGCTCCCCGTGCCTGTGGCAGCCGGAGCCCCCCAGCCGAGTCTCGCCCACGATCGGCCTCTTGAGTTAATTTGATTGTGGAACGCATTTCCTCCCCGCAGCATAAACTGCTTGCCCACATTTGGCTTTGCTTAATAACCACAAAGCAAAACGATTTCCCCCGGGAAAAAAAAAACCCCCCCCCCCCCCCCGCATCTTAACTCTTTGTGAAAGCAAGACTAGCGAAAGAATCAAGGTTTGCAGGCACATCTGGACACAGCTAAGGGCTCGGTAGATTCCCCTCCCCTTGGTCTTGTTCTATTTGCAGTCAGGAGAGTGAGAGGTGGGCACAGAGGTTTGGCTACAATCGGGAAGGGGGGCAAGGAGAGACCCACTGGAGCCTCGCTGGGTCTCATCAAGACGCATCAGTGTGTGGGAGAAACCGCTGGCTTGGCCGGCACTGGCACGGGGCAGCAAGCGCTCCGGCCCTCCGTTTGTTCCCAGGCTGCAACAAGCACCGTCGCTTGAACCTCAGGGGCTCTGGGCTCCGGGCAAAGGCGCCCTTCCCGGGCACAGCCCGTGAGTGGGAGGCGTCCGGCCAGCAGGGACTCGGCCGAGCAGCCGGTGCACCTGCAAAGCCCCCAGGGGGCTGCGCGGAGGCAGCGGGATCATCCGCGGCTGGCCCGGACAGAGGCCGAGTTCCACCGTCAGGCGCAGAGAACGGGAGCAAACGACAAATCTGCAGCCGACATCTGGAGTCCCCGGTGCGCAGATCGCCGCCCAGGGCGCCTCCAGACGCCACTCCGGCCACTGCGGAGCTGCGGGGAGCCCCGCGCAGCCCCCTCGGCGGGGGGGGGGGTCCGGGACAGCCGCTCCGAGCCTCGGCGCCCCCCGCGGCAGCCCCGCCACGCGCCTCTCGCGCGCGCCGGGCTCCCCGCGGCCCACGCGCAAGAGCGGACCGGCCGCCCGGGGCCCTGCTCGCGGAGGGGGAGGCGGGCGCGTGGCCGGGGGCTGCCCTGCCGCCTCCCTCTGGGCCGAGCGGCTTCCTCCGGGCCCTGGGCTTGCCCTTGCTGGCGAGAGGCAGCAGCTGCGCCGGAACCGGGTAGGAAGCGAGGCCGGCGGGAGGCGGCCGGAACGGAGAAAGCCTCGATCCCGGTTGGGCGCTGCGCCGGAGGGCGGCGGTCGCAGACAGCTGGGCCTTCGGTGGGGACGCGCTAAGAGGAAGGAGCTGCGGGGAGGTCCAGGGAGTACCCCCCGCCCCTCGCTCGGAAGGGACGCACGCCGGCCGGGGCAAGCACCCCGCTCCGGGGCGAGGCTCCAGGCCCTCCTGGATGACCCGGCGGGGTCCCGCGGGCGCTGCCGGGCCTCGCCCGTCCTGGGGCGCAGGCGGAGGGGAGCTGCCGCTTGCGAAATGCGCCGCGCGGGCAGAGCGCTGCGCTGGGAATGAAGCCGCTGGCCGGTCCCGCCCGCGCCGCCTGCTGCTCAGAGCGCTCCTCGCAGGGCGCGCCGCCCCGTGGCCAGCCGCCTGCCGCCTCCCGCGCAGCGCGTTTCGGGGGTGACCTGGAAAAAGCGATCCCCCGGGCGGCCGCCGTTGCTCCAAGCAGCTCTGCGCCCCTTGGGAGGCGGGGAGGGGCTGGAGAGCCCCCGGGCCCAGGCCCGCCTAGCTCGGCGCCAGCGAGCCACAGAACTCGCGCGCCTCTCCATCCCGCGCGGCCTTTCAGAGCCTCGCCGGCCGCCAGCACCTCGCACCGCGAGAAGGCACCTTGCTTTGCTGCGAATTGAACGCGGCACACTGCGAGCGAGGCTCACGGCTCTTCCTGGAAGTCGCTCAGAACCAAGCGGCCCTACGCGTGTTAAATAAAGCCCCTCCGAGGGCGCATCTCCCGAGCTCAGGTGCGACGTTCCCACAGCAAACTCTCTGGCAGGTTCTGGGAGCAAAGACAGCGCTCCCAAGAGTGTTAGTGCCATTAGAGAAACCGGGTCGGGGAGAGTCTGTGGTTCCCCACAGGTTCCCCTCCCCAGAGCAGGAGGTGGAAGAGATCCCATGCCTGCGTGAACCTCTGGAGCCTTGGGGAAGACTGTTGGGAAGCTGCCGCTGTGTTTGGGATCGCTCTGCGACCCCGAGAGTCTGGATGCAGCCTGGGGCAGAACACGGGAGCCACACCAGCCCGAAAGCCTGAATTCCTTGGGGTGTGGGATGCCCCACGTAGCGCCACTGGCCCTCCCCGCTCGCTCCCTCTTCCTGGGCAAGCTGCACTTGGGGGTGCAGCGGGGTTCAGGCCACGCCACCAGCCTCGCTTCTGAGCTGTGCTAGAAACGCAAAGCCGGAGAAGGGAAGGGCAGCTCAAGGCACCGCTTTTGCTGGGAGGACGCCTCGCTTTTGTGTGTGTCTTGCCGTGGAAGAGGGGCTTCCCCAAGCCCGCCCCCCCATCCAGTCTCTCCTGGGCTCGGTTTTGTGTGGCCCAGCAGTGGCATGTGAGATATTCCCAGGCGGCCTGTGCCCGAGCCGCGCCTTCGTCTCCACTGCACAGCTGCCGAGGCCTCCACAGCAGCGCACCAGCCGTGGCAGGGGCTGAGCAGAGGGAATCCGCACGGTGTGGGTCTCCCCCTGGCCTGGCTTTGCCGCTCGGCGCTCACGTCCGCCGACGCACCCTCTGCCCGAGCACCGTCCCCTCTTGCACGCATGGGGCGCGCACCTGCCAGCGGGGGCTGCCTGCAGCGTGTGCTCAACAAGAACGGACATAAAGTAGAGATTTCTAGCAAAGGAGACCGAGGCTGCCCCCCCCCCCGGGTCGGCACCGGCACGCTCCACCTTCCCCAAGCTGATGCTTCAAATGCAGCTTTGCTATGAATCACCAAGAGGGCGGCATGGCGGACACAAGTGCACATCAGATGGAGGGAAACTTCAGGAAGGACAACGCACATACTTGCAACATGCTTCCTGAGTGACAGAGTATTTAATCTCGGGGCAGTTTGGGCGAAAGATGGTCACTGTGTGCGCGCCAGCTTTCTCCTGAAAGGGAAACACTCGACCACCTCATCAAAACGGGCTTTTTCTGTCATAAATACTGCAATGCTGTAATGTTAAAGCAGCTTCTATTTCTTGGACCCCACAGATCACAGACTTCAACTAGGATTTCGAACAAGGCTCTTATTATGTGCCTCGACAGAATGAAAACTTTGTGTGAGGGTGGGGTGGCAGGTCTTAAGCACAGCTGAGGTCTGAGCTAGTTGGCATTTCTAAACTGGAAACTCATCTCTTCGTAAGCAGTGTCTTAACTGCAGCTTTGTTAAATCTTGCAGCAGTCGGATCCCAATTCCTCTGTCAGATCTGGACTCGTTCCATGAGTCACTTTGCAGACTCATTTCCGCATGTTTCATCAAGCCTCCCAACACCCTTCCTTGCTTTTCCAGACAAAAGCGCTCTTCCTCCTCGCCAGGTGGCAGCTTGCAATGGACCGAGGGTCAAGCGAGACGGGAACACTCAAACGCATCCTGCATCCTCGGTGCGGCTTTTACAAATGCAAGCAGCAACTGTCTGACAGGAAGGATGGAAGTTACCAGACTGCAGTGGACAGAGGAGGGCAAACTAAACTCTTTTCCTCGCTGGAAGTGGTCGGATGAAAATTCCCCCTTTGCACAGAGAAAATCTGCCATGGGCATCTTTCCCATTCCAGAGAAGGAATTTTTGCCAGAGAACGAACAAACAAACAAACAGGGGTTCAATCGCTCGCTCCAGGCCATGCGCTGCAGAGCTGGCTATGCCAAGCGCCTCCACCACTGGCCTCCCTGGCTGCTTGGGCAAAGGGGGTGAGGTGCGCCCCACACCTTGTGCCCCAGAAGGATGGCTGCAGCAAGCCACCTATCTGTACCAGTTGCTCCCAGGCAAACCTGCAGGAAGCTACAGCAGTTTGATACAAAGGGGTCCCAGAAATTGCCAAGTGTCCGGAAACATTTCTAAAGGCATGGATAAGAAATGGGGGACTCCGGGCCCCATTTAAAAGATGCACCTCAAATTGGGCAAGCAGGATGAATTATTCCAAGCACAGAGGAAAGAGATTCCAAGCAAAAGTCATATTCCGGGAAATCAGATTGCAGGAGAAATAAATTTATAGAAGAGGGAAAGGAGCAAAACATCGCAGAGTCATCTTCAGTGCGGTTCTGTGATGTTGGCTGGGCCAAAGAGGGTGCAGGTCTCATCATTCCCAGCCAGCGTGGCCAATGGGAATGATAGAAACTGAAATCTAGAACATCTGGAGGGCACCGGGGCTGAGGGTTGCGGGGAGCTGGCCTTAAGTTCTGATTGCTGAAAAACTGAGCAGTTGCTAAAAGATAGTCAGAAGCCGGCTCTGCTCACGCCATGCCCACCATGTGGACGTCCAGCCTATCCTTGAACGCCCTCACTGAGGGGGCCTCAATGACCTCCCGTGGAAGCCCATTCCACACCCTCGGGGTCCTGACTGTCAGGAAGTGCTTCCTGAGCTTGGTTCCCTGAGCTTTGCCCCGTTGGAGCGTGTCCTGCCTTCCTCTGCAGGGGAGAACAGGTCTCTGCCCCCTCCGTGTGACACCCCCTCACATACCTGCATGTCACCAACAGATCCCCTCGGAGTCCCCTCTTCTCCAGCCTGAAGAGACCCAGCTCCCTCAGTCTCGCCTCATACGCATCCCCTGCCATCCTGCCACCGTCCTCGTGGCCTTCGCAGCACTGACTCCAACCTGGCGATATAATGGGGAGCCCAGAACTGAACGCAGGACTCCAGCTGCAGGCGCACCAGAGTCGGGCCGATCGCCCGCAAGGAGGATGCAAAGACTGCGTCGGCCTGCCCCGGACTTCCTCTGAGAAGGGGCCTGCAGCAGAAGCTGGCCCCCATGGCCCAGCCTAGCTCTACCTGGAAAGCCGGGGAGCCACGACAGGCTGGGATGGGCCCGCACAGGCCTCCTCCGCCCCTCCAGCCCTGGGCACAAAGCCCTGCCTGCCGCCCCTCATCCGCTCGCCCCTCGCACACTCGTGCACAGTGCAACCCTTCCACAAATTGCGCGGGGATGTGACTCTGCTGTAGTGCGCACCCAAATAAAAAAGACACAGGAAAGCAAATAAATTTTTAATTCACGTTTTTGAACAAAATATTTAGATATGTTTGCATTCCCCCAAAAGCAACTTGCACTCTATCGTTTTCCTTGTGTAACATAACTTAATGAAATTCCATTATCCCAGTGTCACAACTTTGCTGAGAAGGGGGGGCGACTATCACACTGTTACTTTTACTCTGAGAAAGGTTCAAGAAAATACGTGCAAGTTCCAGTGGCACACCCTTGGCTGGGGGGTGGGGTAGACGTGGCACCTCTGCCCAGGCAGCCTGGGGGGGGGCCATGTGCACTCGGAGCTGGCCGCAGGGGCCCCGCCTCCCCCCGTCCCGTCCAGAAGCCAGAGCAGCACCTCTCCTCATGGGAAGCGCCTTCTTGCAGGCGCCGGCCTCTGGAAGGGCCCAGGAAGACTCCCGTGGGCCAGGGGGCTCAGTGGGGAGGCGGCCGGGCCACTGCAGGGCAGCTGCCGCCGAGTCCCCGGGCTGGAAGCACCAAGATGGGAGGCCCAACCACAACTGCCCACCCGGGAGCTGACCCAGGAGCAGGCTGGCCCCGGCACGGGGGCCGCCCCACGAAAGCTGTATCTCGGGCGCTTCTGTCCCCCGTTGTTGGCAGCCTGCAGAAGCCGGCGTTTCTCCGTTCCACCCCCACGCCTGCTCAGCCCCCCGCCTCACTGCCCTGGGTCTGCGAGACGCGCCCTTGCCCCTGCCCCTGCCTGAGCACAGAGGAGGGGGCCTCCAGCCCGCCCTCCCCCCCCCGCTCCCTTCACCTGCAGGCACCTCGCAGGCCTTCTCTTTCCACAGGAGCACAAGCAGCCGTCGCCGCCTGGCCAAAGCAGCAGAGAAGACGTTTGGGGGGCGGGCAGGAGGGCCAGCTGCCCCAGGAGCCTGGGGGCGGGCAGAGGGCTGGCCAGTGATGCTGTGGGGGCAGGTCATGGCTGCTCCAGAGGAACGCCATGTGCCACGGGGAGGCCCAGAGTGGGCCACGCAGCACACGGTCTGTGCCGGGAGCCGTGGGAATATTGCTCAGAACATTTCCCACCAGCCAGGTGCTGGGCAAATGGTTGCACCCCCTTCACCCCCCCCCCGGTCTGTCCGACGTCCCTTCGACATCCACACTGCGGAGGACCATGTGGGCCAGCCAGACCGCTCCCGTCCTCCCCCAGTGAGCTTTCCAGTTCGTCAGCAGGAGGCTGCACCCCCCAGCCGTTCTCCGCGATTGATTGATTGATTGATTGATTGATTGATTGGCACCAGAAGCATTAAAGCAAACGCATGCAGGTGGTCCGGGCAGGTGCTCAGCAGGCGGAAGCAGCCCCTACCTGACGGCCCGGTCACATGCACGGCTCTCCGGCCACAGAGAAAGCGGCGTTCTTTTCTTGGTACCCAGAAAGGGGGTACGTGGCAGAGGATGGCAGAAGAGCGAAACAGGCCGCGTTCAGCATGTGCGTGTGGGGAGGAAGGCCAGCGGAAAAGCAAGGGGGAAGGGGGAAGGGAGGGCGAGGGCAGGGAGAGAATCCGCTTGGCCATGCCCGCTTCTGATTTTGGGCACACTCGCTGCTGACGTGCAGACCCCTGAAAGGGATGGTGGCGCTCATACACCCCGTGGGGATATGCTGAGGGAGGGAGGGGGCTTCTATCCTCAGCAGTGAGCATCTCTCCAGCCAGCGGGGGAGGGGGGCGGGTGGACAGGGTCAGTCAAATGCTGGAGGGGGAGTTTCTCGGTCACTGTTCCTTGTGCTCTGCTGCGGTGGTGTCAGGAAGGCTGCCCAGGATCCAGAGACTTCTCACCCGGCCTCGCTAGAACGGACGTCCCTGGGCAGAGGCAAGGCCTTCCTGCAGATCACAAACTGCTTTGGCAGGGCCCCTTTCCTTCATCGAAGCTCCCAATCCAGCGGGTATAACGAGGAAGAGGGTGGCGGCCTCGGAGCACAGGGCCAAAGGCGCCCGAGCACGCCCAGCGAGCTGCCAGGAGGCCTCCCTGGACTCTGCGTCCTCAATGCAGATCTGAAAAGAGGGGGCACCCGCCTGGCTTCAGCTCGTGCCTCTTGCGCCCACGGCACAGAGGGGGCTTTGCTGCAGGCCTCTCGCCTGCGTGACGACCTGCGCGCACAACAGCAACATTCCCACGGGAACGCAGCCGATCCCGGGGGAACGACAGAGACCTCCAGGGCTGGCCAGAGATCTCCCACATGTCCTCCGGGGCCCCCCTCCCCGAGACGGCCGGCCACTGGTTGAGTACACACCCGGGAGGGCAAGAGGCGCAGGGGCTGCTTCCGGAGCCCGGGGGCTGACGGGGGGCTCTGCCCGGCCCTTCTGAGGGGCTGCAAGGGGGCCGCTTCCCACTGCTAAGGGCGCGGCTGCCAAGAACGGCAGTCTGGGTTCATGTGGCCATTTCAGCTATTTTAATTTTACCTTCACTAAATTTCCCTTTAAAACAAAATCTGATAGAAAAATAGACACATCTGCAAACTGGCTGCTCACCTGGGAGGACACCAGCCCCCCCCCCATCTGGAGGCCTGGCAGCCACCGGACAAGCAGGGCTCCCAGCCCGTAGGCCCCCTTGCCACGGAGCAGCACCTGTGTGGGCCCGTCTAGCGTTGAGTCCCGTGGGGCCGCCACAGCCTGCCGCCCGGAATTGCTCCTTGGGCGCCCCACGAGCACCGGGACCACCCTCCCCAGGCCGGGCAGGCCCCACGCAGCCCCCTCTGCTTGGAAGCACGCAGAGGCGGGCAGAGGAGGAGCAGTGTGCAGGACCCACGGCGGCCTGTCAGCAGGGGAGAGCATCCTCTTCCTCGGCAGGCCCCACAGGCGCTCAAAGAGGCAGAAGCGGCGGCAGCGCAGGGAGAGCGTCCTGGCGCCAAGAGCGGGGCAGTGGCGGAGGGGAGGCGGCCGGCTGGGCGGCCGAGAGACACGCGTCGTCTCCCAGCGCCAGGCAGCAAGTGAGAAAGGGCAGCCAGCGCTGCTGGGTCTTCCGAGAAGGGGGGCCGGGCCGGGCCGGGCCAGCAAGATGGCGGCAGTCCGTCGCGTTCCGCTGTGGCGGCACCAGTCCGGGGGAACGGTGGGCGGGCCCGGCTGGGGCTCGCGCCCCCTGCGCTCCCCCTGCCCTGCCTGCAGGCGAGGAGAGGAGAGGAGAGCAGAGGAGAGGTGAGGAGGGAGGCAGGGCGGCAGCGTCTCCGCAGGATGCAGGCCCACAGGCTCCGGGCGGGCAGAGGGCAGGCCTGGGAAGCAGCGGGCAGAGCCGCGGAGACGTCGCCGGAGCCCCGGAGAGCAAGGCAGAAGCGAGGGCGAGGCCCCGTCGCGCCCGCGAAAGAAAACAGCATGTAAGACGGCAAAGTGACTCAGTGTCATTGGATTCCTCTGCAAACGCCGCTCACGAGGAGGCGCGAGTCCTGGCGGGCGGCAGCTCTAGCTCTGGCGGCCGAACCGCCCGGAGGTGCCTTCGTCAGGGCCGTCTCCCCCGGGGCCGCCGCCGCCCCCGCTGGGGTGCACCGCCAGGCTCGGCTTGCTTCCGCCCAGCGCGTCGTCCTTGGTCAGCTCCGAGGCCAGCACTGAGGTGAAGGCACAGCCCATTTTTCTGTTTGCTGCGATGGGGAGAGAAACGGACAAGCAGGCGGGTGAGAACCAGGGGCTCCGGTGCAAGCGACCGCCCCCTGCCCCCTTCCTTCGGAGAGGAAGAGCCGAAACAGGCGGGGGAGACGCTGCCCCCCGCCAAATGCTCCCACGAGTCTGAGCGGCGGCAGCGTCCTGCAAGGGCCACAGCAGGACCTGGGGGCAAGAGTCCATTCATCTGCTTCCAGCCTGGGCACCCCACAGAGGAACCCACCCCCAGCTTCACAGAAACAAGCCGGCGGTCCAGAACAGCATTCCCCAGTAGGAATTCCCAGCATTCACAGCCATTTGGACCGCAGCTCCCAGACCGGGAATTCTGGGTGCTTCCGTCCAAACGCATCTGGAAGGCACAAAGCTGGGGAAGGCCGGCCCAGAAAGCCGGCGTGCTCCAAGAACCCTGCCTAAGTTGAAGCACCGTTCGGGGCCCGGACAGGAATGCTCAACTGCAGCTCTTCGGCAGCAGCTGCAGCGGCGGCAGCTTCGGGTTCCTCTGCAGCCGTGCGGGAGAAGGAGCGGTGAGCACGTGACGCCGAGGCCCGGCTCGGCTTGCCTCACCGCTTCCTAGTTTGCCCACGGCTGGTGAGTGAACATCCGACAACGGTGCGCTGGTACAACCGTATTCCTACACGCAGATGCTTCCACGCGTTGGGAATACCGGCCTGGAAGAGACGGCACCACCCCCGCAGAATCCAACATCTGTAGCACCGTGCGCCGAAGAAGCGGTGGCCGTCTCCGGACCGGAATTTGCACGAGGCGGGTTGCCCACGGCAGGAAGGTCTCAAAAGCGACCGGCGGCCTTCGGCAGAAAGGCTCTGCTGCCGGCGTGACGCTTCCCTGCCTCGCAACCCCTTCCGTGACCCCGTTTGCACGCCAGGCCCTGCGGGACATGGGCCGCTGGCAGGGTGGCGCCCGGCTCCGCGCCCTCCTGGAGGAGGCACACTCAGCTGAGCAGACACTCCCGAGACGCGTGCCGGCCGGGGCTGGCCGTGCGGACGGCCGGGCCTTCTGGGGCTCCCAGCGCGGCGGAGCGGTGCGGGGCTGATCCAGGCGCTAGTCCCCGCTCAGGTGCGGCACTCGGTGGGCGACACCGGGCCGCTCACCAGCACTCAGCCCGGCCCACCTCGCAGGGCTGTTGCCGTGCGGATCAGAGGAGGAGGATGGGTGCATTGCGGTCTGGACTCCCGCCTCGCACCTCCACTGGCTGAGAAGGCCGCTGAGCTCCCTGGCCCCTCGGGCCACGCACTTCGCCGGGGAGGCCACTGGCTCTGCTGGAGCGCGTTCCCGGCAGGGGGACTGCCCTCCGGCGAGTTGGGTCACGCCCCACACTGTGCCCGGCCGCTGCAGACGTGTTCCCCGAACGGCCTCACGCCTGCTCTCGTTAGGCGTGCAGGAGAGACGTTCACCCCGCCTTCTTGGGCAGACCCCAGCAGTGCTGGCTGGCCGTACCGCCCGAGCCCCTTCGGATCCGGAGCCCCCACCCGGGTGCCACGGGGAGCCTCCACCCCCAGCTCGATACGATGAAGGGCAGCAAGCGAAGGGCCAGGAAGCCGAAGGCCTCCGAGCTCCCCAACAACAGAGCACGGCAGGGTGCGGCAGGCAAGGCGGGTCTGCGCCAGTCCCATGCGGGGATGGGCCCCTCTCCCAGTGCCACACGCACGGCGCACGGCCGGAGCCCCCGCGACGCACGGACCGTCAACACCGCAACGTTGCCACGCACACCACTCCACGCACAGTGGGGATTTGGCGGAGCTCTCGGCGGCTGGGGAGGACAAAGCCGAGCGGATGGGTGGTGAGGGAAACGGAGCAGTGGCTGTGGCTGCTGACCAGAGCTGTGCCACAAACTGCCACGGAGAATCCAGTTCGCCCACGGGAGTCCGGGAGCGCCCGTCCGAAGCGGGCCTCCCCTGCCCCCAGGAGCACCCAGCAGCAGGGCGCCAGGGCCGGGCCTGAGAGCCCACGCACCCAAGGCCCTCCGCCGGCTCGCCCACCTTCGCCCGCACTGGGGGCTGCCACGCGCGGCCTGGGCGAGGGACCACCCGGCACTGGCAGGGACACGGCATGGGAGGGCGGGGGGGCGAGGAGGAGGAGGACGGCAGGCACGACGCACGCGGCAGGCAGTGGGGCCGCGTGCCCGACAGCATCCTTGGCAGCGGGAAAGGAGGGGTGCCCCATGCAGGGAAGAGGGCGCGGCGAGCTGCCGGCACGCTGAGCCACCCACAGGGAGGGCCCGGCTCAGCCCGCGGACCGGCGTCTCCAGCCACAGCCCCCTGCGGGCAGCACATGCGGGGCTCGGGCACAGGGGGGCCATGCGTTTACCCGCTCAGGCGTGTCCTCCTCCGCCTCCGCGAGGGACGGAAGGGAGCTCGCTGCGGGGAAACAGAAGGCGGCTGTCAGATCTCGCGCCGTGGGCTCCTGCGTGGCGACGGCCCCAAGGCCGGGCGGAGGGCTCCCGGAGGCACCGGGGAGCAGGCTGCAGCCCCAGGCCGGCGGCCCAGTCGCCAGGCGGCAGCCGGGAGGGCCACCCCGCAGCCACGGGGGCCGGTCCTCGTCCCACCCGCTTGCCCCGGCCGCAACAGCCGCAGCTGGCCTGCCTCCCTTAACCCACTCATTCCGGGGTCGGAATGAGCTCTGTGGCGGGGCTCGCTGCACCCGTCCGATCTGGACAACCGGCCCGGAGCCACCAGCACCTGGAAGCGGGACGGCGGCTTCCGCCAAGGCAGAGCCCCTGAGTAGAGCTGGCTCGACATGCGGCCGTTTCCTCTGCCGTGCCGCGGGATGCTCCGCTGACCCCCACAAAGGACCACCTCCGGCGGGTGAGGCGTGCGTGTTACCGAGGGTGAGGACAAGCAGGACGGAGACAGCCTTCACGGGGCTCCGTGGCACACAGCACTTCGCACGGAAGCCCGGCCTCCGCGGCACAAAGCAGGCAAAAGCGGGACACGGGCCGGGCGCGTGCAGGGCAGGCCTCCCTGCCACCGCTGCGGAGAAGCCATGCCGCCGCCCTGGCTCGAGCGAGCCCCTGGCCCTCGTGGCTCCGCACGGGTGGCTCGGGCTGGCGGGCATTCCCCAAGGGATGTGTGCCATGGCCAAGGCCTCCCGTGTGCGCCAGCCCCGAGCCCCCGCCTGACCCGCTGCTCGGCCAGGGCCGGGCTCACGTTCCCTGCCGGCCTGCGCTTCCTTGGCCACGGCACGCGCCTGCGCCGCCCTCCCCTGCCTGCTGCACAGCACCGGAGGACCGATCGGGACTCTTGGGCTCCCCTTGGCTCCCTTCATTCCGGCGCTTCCCCCGACGGTCAGACCTGTGTGCGCGTCAGCGGGGCGCCCCACCCGGCGCCCACCCGCATTTCAGGGAGATGCCAGGCCCCTGTCCCGGGGAAGAGGGGCCCTCGGCAGCCTGGGGAGTCGGCCTCCTGAGAAACGCCTGCCCCGGGAGCAAACGCGCACCGCGGGGCCCCGGACACGCTGAGCTGCACTCGCTGCAGTGGAGCCGAGGGGAAGCGGGCCGCTTCGCCTCCCAGAAGACCGGTGGCCCTTTGCAGGCTGCAGCTCCTGGGCCTCTCCGGGACGCCCACTTCTCCTGTCCCCTCGAGGGAACTGGGACTGCCCCGCGAGCGCGAGGGAGAAAGCCAGCCTTTGATGGAGCTGTGCACCCAGGCAGGAGATGTGCCAGCGGAAGCGGGGCCTCCTGTTCCTGCTCAAATCCTATTCCGTGCGGCATTGAAGCCTGGTGCCAACACGTCTTTCTTTTCGGCGTCAGGTGAAACCATTTGCGTTTCCCTGCTATTTTAATGTATCATCGGTTTTAATTTGGCTTTTCCATTGTTGCAATATCGGATGCTGTGCCTCATTATTTTATTTCCTATTTTACTGGTTGAGTGTTGTAAAAGCATCCTGGGAGAGCAGCGGGTGGACAGCCAAAACCCAGGACTGCCTCGGCCCAGGCCGGCACCTGCCGCGCTCCCCACGGGAGGCGCTGGTCCAGGGACGCCTGTTCCCTCCTCAGGGCGAGCTGCCAAGCCCCGCGCAGGATGCACCCGGAGCGCCCCTCCTGGGCCGAACAGAACGTGGCCCGTTTCCTTTCGGGGCCCAGCCAGGCAGGCGCAGACTGGAGCTGGGGGCAGGGACGCGCGGGGCCCACGCGAGGGCCCCGGCCACCATCCCTTGCGCCCTGCCTTGCTCACAGTCGGCAAGCCTCTGGCTGGGACAGGCCCCCTTTTCTCCTCTGGGCCCACGGGCTGCGGAGACCCCTTTCTCACGCATCGGTGCGTCAACCCAAATTTCCCGATGTGCCAAATGGGCATGGAAAAAGGCATGGGAACAAAACCCCGTCCGGCCGATTCAAAATACAGGCACGTTCAGGAATTCCGCAGTGCAGGAATGCTTTTGGCTGCAAGAAGTGTCCCCCATCAGGGCCGGCTCTGTCAAAAGCCGCCTGCAGGCCAGTGCGGCCCAGGCCTTGCCTCCGCTTGGCAGGATCCCACCACCTGGGAGGGGACGGAAGGGGCTTCGAGCGCAGGATTCGGCTCGGCTGGGCCGGGGAGCGGGTTCCAGAGCGCGGGGTGAGTGCGCCGTTTGTGCCCAACTTCCCAACCAGTGCCGGCCTGGCCGGCTTTCTGCACGTTCTCTCCAGCTCCGGGGGCGCATTTGGAGGAATGCCTGGTGCACAGTGGTTGTCCTCCAACATGAAGGATGTATGTATGTATCTCCCTCCTCTGGAGGTTACTACTGAAAAAGGTAACAGCGTCTGCCCTCAGGATGATATCCTGAGATCCGCTAAGACGTAATATATATATATGAAAACCGTTCGGCATTTCAGTTATAAAACCTCTGAACTGTTCTACTGTCAAATTGCATCTAAATTTCAAACTGCCACTTTATAAAATAGTTCTAATTTTATACCACATATGACCAAATTGATATTCAGCAAAGGCCACCCTAGATTATACAGATCAACCAGACTTGCTGCTGCTGCTATCTGTTGCACAAAAATTATCATCAAAGGGTACAGACACACCCCGGTTTTAGGCCATAAAAGAGGAGCTTTCATTTTGCAGAACATCCCACGGAAAAGCCTGGTTCGCCTGCATTCATGGGGCAGCAAAGATAGCTCTGACCCAGAAGCGCAGCCTGAATCAGCCGCTTGTGCTTCTCCCGGCACAAACCATGTGACGACCCGCAGGGCTGCGCTTTGCCGCAAGGGAGGCTGAGGCAGCACGCGGCCGAGTTGCTCCGCCTGCTCCTTAAAGGAACCGCTCCGACTGGAGGCCGCGGGTGGGCTGCAGCAGCCCTTCCCCAGCATGGGGCTTCAGCTCCCATCCTCCCCAGTCAGGACGGTGGGAGACGCTGCCGGCCATGTGCCGGGAATGGCCATTCGGTCAGCGCGCTTCGCCGAAATAAAGCTGCCTGGCTGGGAAAGCTCCCGGGGGAGGTCCAAGACCGGTCAGAAACCTCGGCCCGGAAGTGCCTCGTGCCTCTTCTCCTCCCGGTTTTCTTTACTGAATCCCGCACCGTTAACGGCTCGGTGCGACCAGGACGAGCGGTGAGCAAAGCAGGGCTTGCTGCCACGCACACCAAACCACGGCGGGGGCATCAGTGGTTAAAAGCTGCAGACCCTGCCGGGGGAAAACAGGGAGGGGCTGCCCCTCTCGTCCAGAGCCCAGCCTGCCCCGCTCCTGGCCCCGTCTCTCTGCGCACGGACCCTCTGCCCCCCAAGAGCTGGGCCTCCCCGCCCCAGGAGACGGGCTGGGCCGCTCGCCAGGCCTCGGGGTCCCAGAGGAGTTGGGCGGCCAGCCCCAGGATGGACAGGGTCACCCGGCTCGGCGCCACCCACAGCCCCATCATCCGCCATGCACCCCAGGCCCAGTGTGGGCGGGCCAGCGAGCCGCCTCCAGGGTCGATGGAAGCTTTGCACGCCCCCCAGCCGTGCCAGGCAGGCGACGGATGGGTGGTGGCGGGGCCCGGAGGCGGATGGCACCCCCGGGGGGGAGGCGCGAGGGAGAGCTCACCTTGGCGCGGCCCCCTCTTCCGGCGGAAGGCGGCTCCCGACTGCAGGGCCTCCATCAGACTGTCCATGACGCCCATTTCGTCGCCCTCTGCAAAAAGAAGCTGGTGGTCAGGCGGGCCCCTGCTGCCCCCCCACGCGGCCCTCGCAGGCGCCTCCTCCCCACCCGCCGCTGAGCGCCCCCTGCCCCCGCAGGGACGGCTGACCCCGCCGCATGGAGAGCCCGTTTCGGGGCCCCAGCAGCCCCCTCCGAGAGCACAAGGCCGGCTGGCCACGCCACGGGGCAGGCCCCAAACGCCGTGCCCACACACTGCGGCCCTCCCCCCGGCCCTCCCCTCACTCCTGCTCCTCTTTGCTCGGGGGAGCCCGGCAGCAGCTGCAGCAGCCACGGAGGCAGTGGGGGGGGGGGGGGGCTCAGGAAGTGGAAGGGACCCCTGGAGCCAGGGGAGCAGCAAGGGGGTAAATGCCACGGCAGCCGGGGGAGGAAATCTGGGGGAGGAGAGCAGAGCAGAGCAGAGCATGCAGGCCTCCATCAGCCTTCCCCTCCTGGACCCATGCAATTCAGAATCTGGCAAAGTGGCTGGCCCCACTGGGAAGGCTCTGGGGCCAGACCCAGGGTCTGAGCCATCCGCTGGCTGGCTGGCTGCTGGCTGGCAGGGCAGGTGCTCCCCCCGCGAGGCGTTTTCTCCCGGCCAATTCCGGCGCAGCCGGCGGGCAGGCGGGGGCGAACACGGCCAGCGGCAACGTGCCGGGATGCAGAGGGGAATGGGCGGGCGTCACTCCGTCCCCCTTGCTCCTTTCCTCGAGCCCCCAGCCAGGCGCCGGAATGCAGGATCCGGAGAAAGCGCTGCCGGCGGGAAGGGGGCCACACAGCCGCAGAGGGGAAGGGGGCCGCGGGGGGTCCAGCGGGAGAGCCCCAACCGAGCGAGGAATCCTGGGCTCCTGCACCCCCAGACTCGCTGCTCCCAGCCCCCTGTCCCCGCCAGCCCGTTAACATGGATGCGAGAACAGCTCTGCAAATCCCGGTTGTCATGGCAGCAGCCCCCCCCCCCCGAAACATAACCCCGCAGAATCGCATGGAACATCTGCTGGGCGATTGCGGCGCCCCGAATCCATTGTCCACAGCGCCACCTGCTGGCGAGAACAGCCCGCTCGGCCTGACCTACATGCGGGGGACTCCCGACCGACCCGCTCTTCCCCCTGCCCCATTGCAGCAGCCCAGCCAAGGCCTGAGCGCAGCACAGAGAGAGTTAGCGACCCCCTGCTAAGGATGGTGGGAAAGCTGCAGCTTACAAAAAGCATGCACATTTCTGAAAAAAGTGTTTTTGCAAACACCCTCCCCCCACATCATGTGTTTCCAGACATTCTTCATGGCAGGACGACACCAAGTGTTTGGAGAACTGTGACTACCAAAGTTTGCACCCCAGCGTGGAACTGCCAAGCAGACGGGTCTGCACGGAAAGGCCGCGGGCGTTCGATTCCCACCTGCTCCTGACACCCACACCCACCCATGCATGGCTTCCCTGTGGTGACAGGCGAGCCGCACACCTGACGCAGGTGCCGCTGCATCTCCAGGATGGTGCGAAGGGTGCACGGCGAGGGAGAGCTGACCGCCCCCCCCCCCGTGACCCTGCAGCCCCAGCCTGTTCCCTCTTCTGGGGGCACCTCCCCAGGCCAGGCGGCTTGGGCCTTTCTCATGCAAAAGTGCCATCTGCCTTGCTGAGAGGCAGCGCTGGGGATGCGCCGGGCGCTGGCTGGGGGGGGGGGCAGCCAGGCCTCGTGGCTACCCCGCCACCAGCAGCTGCCCCCCGGTCCGTCACCCTCCGCCCCGCTTGCTAGCCTCGGTCTCCAGGCCTCCAGCTGTGGCTGGCGTGGGCCAGGCCCCCACTGCGAGGTGCAGCTCGGAGGCGTGGGAGGCATGCCCTCTGGCAGGACACGCCACCAGCCAGCCAGCCCTCCGCCGGGCACTCCGGGGACACGTGCCGAGCACGGATCCCAGGGCAGGGCCCCGCTGAGTCAGCCGGCGGTCCAGCTCCAGCCGGCAGCCGCTTCCTCCCCAGCTGGGCCACTGACCCACCCAGCCCAGCTTGCTCACACCGACTGTTCAGGACCTTCCCCAGCCACCCCTGAACCCAGGGACCCCGTCCATCCATCCGTCCTTCCTTCCTTCCTTCCCGGTGAAAGATCAGAAAATGGCTGGGATTGGGCAGGGTCTCTTCCTGAGGTATGCCGAGAGCAGAGAAAAGGGCTCCTCTCGACAGAGACCTGGCACTGCGCATGAAACCCGAGAAGCAGCTCTGCCGGCGCGGGAGAGCCTGGGCGGAATGGCGGGGGCCCTGCGCTCCGGGGGATCCGTCCTCCGCCAGCCAGCCAGCCAGCCAGCCAGCGCGGTTCCCCTGCCAAGCCGGCATGGAGGGGAGAGGGGGAAGGGAGGTGAGGAGAACCAGATGCACACCGTGTCCCCCAGCTCGGCTCCGAGTAGCTGCAGGGGAGGGGAGGGGACGGAGAGCCGGCAGGGCAGGAAAGGCGGGAGGCAGGAAACAGGAGGATGGGCCGTAACTGGCCCCATCTGCGCTCACGAAGAGGGGAGGCTCCTCGGAGGAAGTCCCCACGGCGGCACGGCCACCAGGAGGGCGCCTGCTGCAGGGGCCACGGGCCGGCCGTCAGAGCCCGCACCTCCGGAGCGCTCCCGCCGATCGCTGGCGCCGCGGCTCCTGCGAGCCCACATTTGCTCCCGCAGAGGAGGCCCCTGCTGCGTGGCCTTCGCTGGCCGTGCCAGACGCCCCGGCGAGGTCGAGGGGAGGCCTCACAGCCCCGCCGAGGAGGGGCGCATGAGGCCAATTTCCCCCACGAACACACAACAGACGCGCTTCGTCGCGGAGACGCGTCAGCAGGAGGGGAACGGGCACGTCAGAACGGCATTTCCATCTCCGCCACAGGAGCCCGACCGAGGCCTCGGCCTGACAATGGACGGCCCGCTGAGCCTCCGGTTCACACGCACACCCGGCAAAAGCCGTGGCAACAGGTGGCGAGGGTGGCAATGAATGCACCACCCACGTGCCACTGCACTAGTCTGTTGAATTCCACGGCACGGTTCAGCCCTACAAACCGTGCCCATTTTTAAGGTGCTACGAGAGCCCTTCGGTCGCGCACGCAGCTTTCTCCCGCCCCTTGCCCTGCACGGGAGGCTCCCTCCAAGCACGTCCGAGTCCGGTGGACTGGGAGGGCGCGAGGACGGAGAGCGGCTCCGCAGGGCCTAAAGACGCTGGTGCAGTGAGCACTAGCGGCTTCTATTTGCTGATAAACCAGGCTACCCAAGCGCAGGAAAGGGAACGATTCAGCCAGTGGGGTCGTGCAGAACAAGCGTGAACAGAAGTGCAGGCAGCGGCAGCGGGACTCCGAGTTGGCCGGGTGCTGGAGCGCATCCAGCGGGACTGAAGTTGTGGAAAAGCCGGAGAAGGAAGGCGCACGCCAGGCCTGCGCTGAGGCGCCCGGACAGGGGAAAGAGGGGAAGGGGCCCGGGGGAACGTCTCCCCACCAGCACGGTGGCGAGCAAAGCCCGACGGAGGGGAACCCCACGGCCAGCATCCTCTGATGCTGAAAGCTGCAGGCGGCAGACACGTCCCTGAAAACCCCGTGGCGCGCATGCAGGAGGGGTGCGCGAGGCACACGTGCCCGCCCGCCCTCTCCCCGCCGAGGCAAGGGGTCTCGCGAGGCCGTCCTCGGGCCCCCCGGGGGACGGCCCCAGGCTCAGCCGGCAGCCCGCAGTACCTGCGCTCATGTCGATGAGCTGCTCCCTCTTCTGACGCTTCTCCTGCCGCTCCTGCTCTGCCTTCTCCTTGGCCAGCTTCGCTCGGCGCATCTTCTCCTCCAGCTCGTGGCGCTTCTGGTTCTCCTTCACGGCTTGCTGCGGGCGAGAGGCAGCGGGCTGGAAAGGCGGGCCTGGCGGGCCCACGGGCCTCCCTCGTGGCTCCCGGCCAGCGGACGAGGGCGGGCAGGGGGCCGGGCTGCGGGCGAGGGCGAGGCATCCAGCTCCGCGGGCAAACCGGGGCCGATGCGGGGCGCTTGGGGGCCCTCCGATGTGGGGCGCTCGGGGGCCCTCCACCGGGGAACGCTCCGAGGGGCAGACAGGCAGCCTCCGCCACGGAAGGCGCAGGACGGCAGACCGGCGGGACTGGAAGGGCGGGGTGGGGCGCGCTCACCATGAACATGCTCCGGAAGTTGTGCAGGTTGGAGAAGAATTCCTCAACGGAGGTCTTGCTGGCGTTGAAGAGGAAGTACTTCCCCAGCTCCTCATAGAGGCTCTCCATGTTGGAGTGCATCATCCGCAGCTTCTCGTACTGTTCCTGGGCTCCCTTGACGAAGCTGTGCGGCTCGAGTCAAGGCCAGCGCCCGAGCTGGGAGGAGCCCCCGGGCGCAGCCGGTCTCGCTCAGGCGGCCGCGGCCAGGCTCCCGGAGGCCCGCTCGCTTCGCTGTGCCTGGCCTTCCCAGCCAGACGCCCTGCGTGGCCGCCCGGGGTGCTGCGTCCTGCCCCGGGGAACACCAGCACCCTCCCCTCACCCCACGGCCCCGGCCCCGCTCGGCTCGGCTCGTCAGCACCACTGCCCTTCTCTGGCAAAGGGACGACCCACCGTCTGCACAGGGGCAAGTTATTCCACCCCCCGCAGGCCTCCCTTTTAGGACCGCGATCCAGGCAGAAAGGGTGGCAGGCTCTAGGAAGAGGGCGAGCGGGAAGCTCTGAAGGGGCTCGTCTGCTTGGCGTGGATGCTTGCAGCTACTCGTTCTCCACACGCGCCCACTGCCTGGGAGACATCGCTGCGGAACAGCGGAGTAAACCCTGGCCAAACGACTGCTAAGCAATGAACACGGGCGCGAGGACCACCCCAGGCTCTCTCTCCAGCACACGCGATTCGGAAAGCCGGGGGACTCACCTTGGCCCCTGTGCCCGGCCGGCCCGGCAACGCCCCCCTCCCCCGGTCTCAGGCCCCTTCCCCAGACAGCCCCGTGGCGCGCAAGGCCCTCCCTGCGGAAGGACTGAGCCCTCAGCACCGCCCGGGGCTCCCTCCCTCCCGCCCAGCAGGGCAGCACCCCACTTTTGGAAGGATATGTTCATTTTCTCTACGAATTTGTCCTTCTCTTCGGTGGCGCTGGGGAAATTGTCGACATCACGCTTCACATCTGCAATCTGCTTCTTCATGAGGTCCAGATTTTTCCGCAAGTTCTCAGCAGAGACTTGGGGGAGAAAGAGGCAGCATGGGAGCCGGGAATGCCACGCAGAGGGGTTTTACCTCCTGCCGGGCAGCTCGGAGAGGAGGGGAGGGGGTCGCCCCTCCAAGGCAAGTGGGCGAGCCAGGGGGCTTTTCCACCAGAGAGCTCCCCTGCCTCCAGAGTGGGCTGGCCCATCAGCAGGAAACCTGGGTGACGCCGGTGGTGGGCATCCGGGGGGCCACACGCCCTTCCTGTGGAGTGGCCCTCTCCGGAATGCCCCCCGGATGCCACATGTGCCGCTGCTGGGGACTCCATGCCAGGGCCAAGCTGCCCTCCATGTGGGGCGGCCGGCCCTGCTCCCAGGTGGCCACCCGGAAGGCGGGGCGGGCCCCGGGCTCCATGAGCAACCCGGGGGCTCAGCCATGCGCTCCCGCCGTCCGGACGGGCACGGCAGGCGCTTGCACACAACAGCGCGTGGCTCTCCCAGGGCAAGACGCAGCTCTGGAGCGGCCGACCTGGCGGGACTGCAAGCCAAGAGACGCTGCTGCCTGCAGTGCACTCATCCTCGCCTGGGGGACGCTTTTGAGAACTATCTTTGACCCCACGAATCAAGGGGCTCCACACTCTCCCGCCTTTCTCGGCCCTGCCCAGCTCTTCTCAAGGCTGTGGCTTGCTTTACAAGTCCGTCCATCCCACCTCTGGTCCTCTTCTGCTTCTGCCTTTGCCTTTCCGTAACATGACTGTCTTCTCCACTGCATGGCCTTGATGTGCCCAAAATACGGCAGCCTCAGTTTTGTCAAGGCGGCTCCCAGGTAACCTTCTGGCTTGATTTGACCCAGGACCCACGTGCTCCTCTTTCGGTTCGTCCGGGGTATTTGCAGAGCTCTCCTCTGGCGCCATTTCGAAGCCTCCATTTTCTTCCTGTCAGCTTTCTCCGCCTTCACAGCCAAACACAGTGCTCAAAAGCAGAGCGGTGCAGCTGACTCTGGCGCCACCGCCAGTGAACGCCCCCTGACGGGAGGAACTCCGCTAGTTCCTCCCGCATCTCAGCCGCCGTCTTCCAGGGTCGTGGCCGCAGCCTCCCTTTGAATGGATGACTGAGCCCAGGTGGGCGAACTCCTTCACAGTGCCAACTTCTTCAACGGTTGACAGCCACGTTCTGGAATTCTTCCGCAGCCGTGACCTTGTTTTCTTACCACTAGCTATCCATCCATCCATCCGTCTATTTATTAAATGCTTTTTTATCCCGTCCTCTCACAGGAGTCTCAGGACGGTGATACTGAGCCACAGTCCTGCTTCTGCGCTTTTTTCTTCCTTTTCCGTCAGGAGCTGTTTCAAGTCGTTGCTGCTTTCTGCCAGTAAGGCAATACAATCTTCATATTTTAAATTATCCGTGTATCTTAAACGACCGGTGTACCTTCCACCAATATTCACTCCTTCCTCCAATCCTACTCCAGTTTCCCTTACGATACGTTCCGAGTCCAGAATGAGCGAACAGGGAGAGAAAATACACCCTTGTCTGACAACTTTGTCTACGGAAACCGCAGGGCTCCGATGCAGGACGGCTGCGTGCCTTGAGAAGGGGCCTGCACGGCCCGTTTCCCCGACATGAGAGGCCCGACGAGATGGCGCTCCTGCTTTGCTCGGCCCTTCCTGCGAACGAACCTTGACCGCTCCGGTCCTCCTGCCAGCCTGGCCAGCCGCAGCGCCTATTTCTGCAGCTGGCTCTGGCAGGGGCTAATGTAAACACAACGGACCACCCCCCTTGCAAAACAGACAAATCGCCCGTTAGACTGCCCCCCAAAAGGAGCACAGGGAAGCCAAGACGGAGCGAACTCCCCTGCAACTCCAGAGACCTCTCTGCGGACCATGGGTGGCTCCCCCTTTTGTGGCTTGAAGACTACGGGCTGGGAAGAAGCGCCGTGGCACGAGAAGGTTTGCCCCCATCACACACACAAGCTTTTGCAAGAAAACCCCCGGGGGACAGCCTTGCGGCACGCCCGGCCCCAGATACCTTGGGAAGCCTTCTCCACGTGGATCAGCTCATCGGGGAACTTCAGCAGCTCCGGGTGCTGCTTCTCGCACAACTCGGCCACGAAGTGCAGCAGGGTCAGCTTCTGATCAGCAGACTTGGTGTCTCGGAGCTAAAGCAACAGGGAAGGAAGGGGCTGAAGGGGCCAGCACTCCCCCACCCCCCAGCCCTGGGCCGGTGCGGCCCGGGCAGGCTGGGCACCCTAGCGGGGCCCGCAGGCGCACCTTGCAGAGGTAGCTGATGTTGAAGCCGAAGGCGCCGGCATTCATGGAGCCGGCGTTCATGTAGTTGCCCACCAGCAGGATGAGGGAGAGCAGGCCGGAGAAGTTCTGGCTGCCGCGGACCTCCTCGCAGGCCGCCGTCACCGCCACGATCTCCGGCTTGATGTTCTCCACCTGCTCTGCGAACTGCAGCTTGAAGAGGATGGCACTGAGGCGGGCCATCAGGCGGGGCACCGAGCTGATCTGTGGGGACAGGGCCGGGCAGGCGTCACGCGCAGGCAGGGGCGTGGGGCAGCGAGGGCCCCGAGGAAGAGGCGGGAGGGCAGGGAGGCCGCCAGCATGGCCGCCGCTTCTCCGGCCACTGCCGTGTTGCCCGGTGGCACGGCACCCGCTGAGAGCAGCTCCAGGACGGGCAACGTGCCTGAAAGCCCTGCTCCGCCGGAGTCCCAGCGAACACGGCAGCCGCTCGGAGAACTCCAGCTGCTCTGCCCCGCTGTGGCTGCGGCAGTGCAGAGGCCATGAAGGGAAGCGACTCGCAGCGTCGCTCGTGGGAAGCGCTCCTGACAGACAGCGGGCAGCCTCCCCCCACTCCCCCACGGCTGCATCACTCCCCAAGTTTGAAGCAGGCATGCTGGCAACAACCGCTGCGAAGACATGACTGTCAGGCAGCCGAGGGACAGTGCTGGCCTCTCCCGAGGAGCCCGGCTCCGGCTCTGCTCTCGAGGGTCGGCCGGCCAGCCTGCCTCTCCTGGGGGCAGCTCTCCCAGGACTCTGTGGCCCAGCTTTGAAGGCCGCGCTCGACCGGGAAGGGCTGTGCGACTGAGCCTTCGGCCGGCGCTCCACGGAAGCAGAAACAGCCGGCCCGCCACCGGCTCCTATGGAACTGCGGTGCCCGAGAAGCCCGCTCGCTGCCACGGCTGCCCTGCACCCAGCGCCTCACCCTGCAGTGCCCGCCGCGGCAGACTTCCAGCAGGGCCTTCCCAGCGAGGAGGGCAGGAAAGCGACACCACAGGGGAAGGCCTTGCCCACCCACCAGAACTGCCTTCCCTCTCTTGCCCAGGCCAGCAGGGACCACAGCGGATCCGGACCCTTGGGGGCAGCCGCATTTCGGGGCTGGGGGGAAGCCCAGCCGGCAGGGCCCTCCGAACACGGCCAACCCCAGGAGGCCGGGCGATGCGGAGCAACAGTCGGGCTCGTGGGTCTCCCGGGGGCCTCGCGTTCAGACCTCGGAAAGGGGCAGCACTGATGGGAAGGGGTGCCGGACAGCGGGCAGGACAGACCGAGTGTGGGCACGGGCACAGGCACGAGAGGGGAGCCGCGCCACACCGCCGCCCTCCGCGAAGCCCAGGCCGGCCGCTCACCACCACGCCGAACTGCTCCGGCTCCGCCAGCTCGTCGTACTCGCCCTTCAGGTCCGCGATCATCTTCAGCTTGTCGGGCTCTGGCATCAGCTTCAGCAAGTTCTGGGAGAGGCAAGGCAAACGTCAGCAGGGAGGAGAGGGAGGGAACCGGCCTCGGCGCACTGCCCGCTTGGCCAAAGAAGCAACGGCGTTCGGCCTTGGCGGAAAGGAAGGGGTGCAGACCCTTCCCCCGAGGAGGGGGGAAGCTGCGGCGAACGAGTGCGCCATGATCCTTGCAACAGGCTTCGACGCATCCCCGTCCGGACAGTGGGGCCCGGGGGCTCTGCCCCTTCCCCATCAGGCCCCAGGCTGGTCCGGGCAGAGCTTTGCGCCGCGCCCTTCGGCAGCCAGGTTGGGGGGGGGGGCAACGGATCAGGCCCCCTTGGGGGTTGCCGGCTGGGAGCAGGCATGCCGGCCCCTCCGCCTGGGCTCACCTGCACCATGGACTCAGTCAGCACGGCCTCGTTCACCTCCAGGATGGCGGTCTTGATCTCCTCGTACGGCATACGGAAGGAGCCCAGGAAGATGGCTGCCGCGGGCAGAGAGGCGCACCGGTGAGTCCTCACGCCAGGTGGGACGGAGGTGCCCCAGGGCTCCCGCAGACAGCCCCCTCCCCACCCTGAGCCCCGCAGAGGCGGGCGGCACTCACACAGGTTCTGCGCATTCTTGGAGTCCAGCACCCGCAGCTCCTTGGCCTTCTTCTTGGACTGGCCCTTCTCCTCACTGTCCTGCTGCTTTCGGGCTGTGGGCAGAGGGATGCGGTCTGAGCCTCTGAGGGGCACCCGCACCCCAAACCGCAAGCCGGCCCACGTGCACCCGCCTGTCTCCCCAGCCCCCCATTTTTAAAGTGGAGCAGAACCGAGAGAGCAGCAAGAGGCGCAGGGAGGACGGTCCATGCCCGGCCCCGGCCCTTCTCCACCTGCCACAAGAAGCCTGCCGGCCACCACAGCTTGGACCGGGCGGTGGGGAACCAGGCCACCGGGCACGCAGGAGGCCCCTCGGAGAGCCGGGGCACACGCCCCTCCTCCGGGCAGGATGAGCCACCCCACCTCGCAAAGCGCCCCCTTGTGGGGGTTTGTGTGCCACAGCAGAGAAGACGGGCAGGGGGCTGCCCCGCCGGGCCCCCAGGTCCCATCCAAGACCCGCCGAGGGCCTTCCGCAGTCGAGGGCAGCCAGGCCGGCAGCCCCCGGGCCGGGCTCGGCTCCCCTGCCAGGCGGCAGACCGCACACTGGGAGAAATGTGCCGACCGCGCGAGCCGTCCAGGGTGGCCCCACAGGCCGGGGCTTTCCAGGCTAGGAACAGAGGAGGGGTGGCCCGCTTGCAGGGGCACCGCAGCCGCCGACTTCCTGGCAAGGGCCAGGCGCGGCACTGGGCAACCTTGAGACCCCTCCGAGGACAAGGGTGGTCCAGGGACTGGGAGCGACTGAACGGGAGGAGACTGAGGGGAGACGGGATGGCCCTGTTTGCCAAGCGCTCACACAGCGGAGGGCAGCGTCTCTTCCCGATCCTCCGAATGCAGGGTGCGGAGTAAGGGGCTCAAGTTGCTGGGAGCCCAGTTCCGCCTGGACATCAGGAAGGACCTCCTGCCTGTCGGAGCAGGACAATGGAGCCAGCGAGCCAGGAGTGGCCGGCCCTCCTCCCGCGGGGGGCATTCAAGAGGCAGCTGGGCTTAACGGGGGTCCTGCCCTCCTTGGCAAGTCCCACGGGTTGGCAGCACTTGTGGGGCTAGGCCTCCTCCCCTCAAAGGGATCCGCAGCCGATACCTATGTATTTATTCATGCAAGTATCTGTAGGCCACCAACAATTGCTGGAGCCTCCCGAGGCGGCCTGCAATACATGCAACACTGAAATGCCAGGAGGACCCGGAGATGCGCCGGCCGGCGGCTGAGCTTCAGCCAGCTCCTGATCCTGCGGGAGCCCTTCCTGGCACGCCAATGCAGAGGCCAAGCAGGCGCCCCCTGAGGCCGGCTTCTGGGCTGGGGCTCGGCCCCGAGCACCGGGCCCCAGGCAGGTGGGTCTGGCCGGACACGGTGCAGGAGGGGGGCGTGGGGCCTGGCACACCCCCCCCCCGGTCGCTGGGCCGCTTTTGTCGGACGGCCGCCGCTCCGGCCGGGCCCCTTCTGCGCCATGGCCTTCTGCAGCACCCCGGCCTTGCTCGAGCTCTCAAGCCGGCCCAGCAGGCCGGTCTGGGCACAAAGAAGCCCTTCAGCTCAGAAGCCATTCTCTGGGGCAGCGGCTTGCAAGGAGCGGGCAAGGAGAGCCGCTGACCTAGTTTTCTGCGCGCGCCCCGACGCCCAGCTGGCTGCATGGGCGGTAAGAGCCGCAGGCAGAGCCACCTTTGCGGGGCGGCCTTTCCCGAACGGGGTGGGGAGGCGAAGGGGACCTGGCAGCACGGCCTGATTCCTCTGAGATCGAGCTGGCTGCAAGCGGATCCCGCTGCAATCTGTGGAAGCCGTTCGAGGCAGAAGCAGAAAGGGGCCGGCCAGCCTTGGTGTGCAGAGGGCTCCCCAGCTGGCACACCTTCCTCCCACGTCCTCCCGCAGCTTGGACCACCTGGCGGGGCCACCTGCCTCCCCCTCCTGGCCTCCAACGTGGGTCATTTTCAGACAGCAACCACGGGCCGGCAGCCAGCTCTCACGGCCCATGCATGGAGGGCTGGGACAGTCCCTGTGGGGCGCCCACGGAGGAGGAAGGGCCCTCCCTGTGCTGCGAGGGCACCTGTGGGGCGGCTGTCCCTGGCAAGAGCGGCCAGGATGCCGGCTGCTCTTGCCCAGCGGCTCACCAGGTGATGGCACTTGCCAGCCAGGTTCGGGTGCTACCACAACTGCCCTGCCCCCCGGTGCAGCAGGACCGAGAACCGCCCTGGGTCACTGCCTCGAACAAGCCCCCCACCGGAAGTGGCCCAGGTGAGCGGGGCGGGACCCCCCTCGCTCGCACGGCAACGGCAGATCCGGCTCTGAACGGCGGCGCTGCAGAGGGTAGCGCCGGGCTCTGGGGAACCAGTTCTCCCCAGAAAACGGTTCCCTGCAGCAGGAAAGTGAGGGGCAGAAGCGAGGGCGGGCCGATGGCGGGGGGGCGCGCTTTGCGTGGGAGGAGGGACGCCTGGCCAGGCCAGGCCCGGCGGCTTCGGCACGGGCGAGGGACAGGCCCGGGGAAGCGCCCTGCACCCGAGCCGTCCGGCAGCCGCGAGCGCCGTGCAGGGAGGCAGCCCGGGCAGGGCCCGCGCCATGGGACACCCCAGGCCAGCCACTCCTGGGAAGGAGGGATGCCTTGCAGGACCCACACCCTCCCCACACGGCAGGCTCACGGCCGGCCAGCAACCCTCCGGCTTCCAGCCGTGGCTGCGCAGCCCCCGTTTCTGCCACTTGCTGCTCGGACACGCGGCCGGGACGCGCCTTCCGGCTCCGCCGTGGGGCTGGCCGGACGGCCCTGCCTGCTCGGGAGCAAGGAGAGCACAGCCCTGCGGGCCGGCCTCTGCAGAGGGGCAGCACCCGCCAAAACCCCAGAAGGAACGGCCGCAGGTGGAAAATAAAACGGACACTGAGGCTGAGCTGGGAGAGGGAACAGGGCAAATTTCAGCCCCTTATTCCTTCAGTCCACAAGAAAAGGTCTAAATATTGGGCGGGTCCATCCTCTTGCTTTAACAGCCGTGGCTTCGCCACTGGGGCTGCAGGGCAATTTCCCCCACGGGGGCAAGGCGTCCTCCGTGCTCCGGAGGGAAGGCTTTGCCAGCACCACCGCCATTCCCGTGGGCTCAGCGGTGGCTGAATTCTGCGGGGGGCTGAGTGCTGGGGGGGAGCGCAGGCTGTCCAGATGGCCAGCTGGGGAACCCCGGCTGAAGGGGCTCGGCACGGCTTAAGCGCCACACTTGTGCACGCACACACACACACACACACACAGCGCCACCCATCTTCCGCCAGACAAAGCCTGCATGCCTGACGGATGTGGGGGGGTGCGTGCGTGTGGGGAGGGGGGCAGGAAGTCCCATCAGGCACAGCTGCCTCTGACTCAGCCCGCCCCCGGCCCCTCCCTCGCTCCGCTTATTTTCCTGCGCCACAGATACAAAATGGAGCCTGCGGAGAAGGCGGACCAGCCTCTAAAATGGCCGAATGCGGCAAAGGAAAAGCCGCAATGGGAAAATGGGGCAAGGGCGCCATCTGCTGCCTGGACGGCACCACAGCTGGGAAGGCCAGCCCTGCAGCCGGCAGCCAGGACGAGGGGCTCTTCCCAGGAAAACTGGGGCGGCCGGCTGGATCGGGCCCTGGCTCCAGGCGCCCCCAGGCAACGCTTCGCTCCGGGCAAACGTGGAGCACGGTCCGTCCCCACTCTGTGATGTGGGTGCCCGCCAGGGACCCTCGAGAAGGCGCCACATCCATACAGAGAAGGAGGCTGGCTGGGCGCAGCATCTTGCTGTGCCCTCTCCCTCGGCGCCAGAGCCACAGGGCTTCCCCATGCGTGGCCCCGGCCGGGGGGCATCACGGGTGTGGGCTGGCCCTTTTGGGCCGGGAGCAGCCGCTCCTCCCGCAACCCAGGAAGCCCTCCGGCCATGCCCCCAGAGCCGCTGCTTCCTGGCGGAGGCACCCCAGGTCACTGTGCAAGGGTCTCACCGCCCCTGCCCAGTCGGCGCTGGTCTGTGCTGGAAAGAGGTAGGCGCTCAACTAACGCCTGGCCCCCGAGGGCCCTTCCTTGTGCAGGGGAAGGCCCCGCACGCGGGTGCTCAGCGCCAGAGCGCTGCTCCAGCGACCAGCCACTGGGCTGGCCAGGCAGGACACGCACCGGCTGGCTCTGGAGGAGCCATCCGGCCGGCGGCACACTGAGCGCTGAACAGCACCCGTGGCTCATGCCGGAAACGCCCCCCAGCCACTCACTGCTGCCCAGCTGGCCAGGATGATGGGATCTGGATTCCAAAATCTGAGCCGCATCTGGTGGATGCCTGACCCCGAGCTGCATCTCACGCTGCAGATCGCCGGTCGGAGCAAGACAGACGCTGGCCCACGCTCGGGCGCAAAGCGGCCTGGGGTGCTGGGGCCCACGGAGAAGCCGGAGGTGCTTTGCCCAGAGGCCCAACTGCCACAGCGAGGGGGGCACCAGGGGCCCTGCGCAAGCGCCCAGGGCCAGCAGAACCACCCAGCACATGCCTCAGCACAGGGGTGCTGGGAATGAGGGCTGACAGGCCGGGGCTGGTCCCCAGGCGGCGCTGCCGGCCCAAGAGCCCCCCGGCCCTGCGGCATTCGGGGAGCAGAGGCCGGGCAGGTCCCAGCGGCGGGCGCTGGGGAGAGCAGGGCGGAAGGGCAGAGAGACGTGGGGGACAACGGGCTGGCCAGGTGGGCTGCTCAGGAGGGGGCCTTACACACCTGCCCGGCAGGGGGGCTCAGCAGCCTCCGTGGGGATGCCAGGGGCAGGGAGCAGTGCTCAGGGCAGGGGGAAGCCTCCCTGAGCGTGGCAGTCCAGGGCACGCCTGCCTCCCGGCCTCTCTCATGCACAAGCTGGTGTGCACACTCACACACACACACACACACACACGAAAGCAGCCGAGGAATCCCCGAAAGGAGGCACAAAGCCCCCATTCATGCGCCCCGGCTGCCGGGGGAGGGAGGGGGGAGAAGGAGCGACAGATGCCGGCCAGCCGGATGGCCTGCCAGAGCCGCCCGCCTCCCCTCCCCTTCCTTTGTTCCCGAGAAAAGGAGGCCAGCGGGAGGGGCGGAGGGGGGAGGAGGGGGAGGAGGGGGCGGGCGGGGAGGAAGCGGCCACCGCCCGGATGACACAATGTCAGCCGACTCGGCCCGCCAATCGGGCGGCCCTGACGTCACGGGCCGGGAAGCGAGCCAGGGCGGCTCAACTGCGCTCACCTGGCGCATGAAAAGCGCACTGCAGGCGAGCCGACAACTCGCCCATGCCCCCGCAGCGCCCCGAGGAATGCGCCCTCCCGGGCCTGGGGTGGGCCCGGGAAAGGGAGGCCACCCCCCCCCATCGGGGGACCCTGCGCAGAGCGCTCGGGACCCCCCACGCACGCCAGTCCGGGGCAGCGACTCCCACTCGACCCAGAGCATGGCGAGCCCCTTGCCCCACTGGGCGACCCGGGCTGCCCTCCGCTGGGGCGCTGACGGGCACTGGTGCCCCCCCGACTGCCGGGGCCTCCGGGGTGCAGCTGAGCCGGGGGGCTGCCAAACCTGGCTAGCGGAGCCACCTCTGGCAGGCTGCCGCTCTGCCCCTTTTTTCGTCCATTCGGGTACTTTCCAGAGGGAGAAGAGCGCATGGGGAGCCTAAATCCCTGTGGAACCCCCTGCCCCCACCCCCTACCTGAAGCCCCTGCGACCCGAGTCCACGTGCAGCCACGGCGATGGCGGGACGAGCGGCCCACACGTGCCGCAGCCTGTTCCTCGCGGCCTTTTGGACACACTTGCGAGGCGGTGCAAGCGGAAGGCGAACGGGAGGGAGCTGGACGAGCGGCAAAGCTCGCCAAGGAAGGGGGCGGCGATGCCACGCGGCTCCTGCACCACGCGTCGGGCGGCTTCCCAGCGCCACGCAGAGGCGGCACGCAGGCCACGCGTGTGCGGAGCTGCGCCCCAGCACGGGCCTCACCGCGGGCCCGTGTGCCGTGGCCTCGACTGGGACCCCTCCAAATGCCTCGAGGGCGAGCCGAGGGGGGCTCCTCCGCACAGCAGAGCTGGCCTGCAGCACCCCCTGCCCCCGGACGCAGGGCGGCCACCCACGCGGACGGCTGCAAACAGATCGGGCCAGTCCACGGCGGAGAGGCGGCCTTCTGTGGCCACGGGCGTGCCGGCCGGGGAACTCCTGCCCCTTCTGCCGGAGGGATCCTGCGGAAGCTGCCCTGCCCCCGTGGGCCCGGCATTCCAGGCGGGATGGGCTGCTGGGCAGATCCATCCCGGCCTTTCCTACATTCTCCGGCACGTGCGCGGTGATTGCACAGGCGTGTCCGGAAACGCAGAAGCAATGCCCGGTGTGAACCTGGCCCATTTTTTCCTCAGCCTAAGGAGGCAAGTGGGGGGCGGGGGGGTCATGAGGCCTGGGCATGAGAAGTGGGACTAGCGCCCCTCGGGCAGGCAGAAATTTCCCAGAAGCAGGAGTCCTGCCCTCGGTGGCGAAATGGAGCTGCTTGTGATCCCCGCGGCTGGACGCACCGAAGCCCGTCCTAGAGCCAGGCCTCCCTTCGGAGCAGGGGTCCTCACGCCACGGTCCGGGGGCCAGATCTGGCCCGCCATGCCCTTTGGACCCAGCACGCGCACCCGCGCGCGGGGAGGCCACACTTTGCTCCCTCAGAGAAAACGACCCCCAAGCAAGCACGCCGCGGCCTGGCCCGCCGGCCCGTGCCCTCACCGCCAGCACCCCCTTTCTGGCCCGCGCCCGGCCCCGGCACCTTTCGACTGGCCCCCCGGTTAAAGAGCCTGAGGACCCTGCGGTGGGTGCAGTTCAAGGCTTACAAGTGCGGGCTCCTCCGTGCCGAGGGCCGCCGGCCCGGCCCCACGGCACCCTCGGGGACGATTGTGCCCCACCCGGCCTGCTCCAGGGGCTCCGCTGCGCGACGTGGGCCATTCCCAGGCGCTGGAATCTGCGCTGCCAGTACTGCCAATGCAATGCGCCGCTTGCCCACAGGAGGGCAGCCTCCCACCGCGCTTTCCCTGGCCAAGAGGAAACATTCCTCTCCTGTGGAAGGACCGCTGGGGACTGGGTCCCGCACCCCGGGGGGCCTGCAGGGGCAGTGTGCCCCCACAGCAGGGCGGCCCCTCGAGGCATCGCCCCCCAACAACTGAGCCAACGCTTCTCAGATTCTGCAGATAACTTGCTTCCCCCGAGCTGTGCATTTTGCATGAACTTGTGGGTCATTTTCCCCCACAAATGTTTACACAAAGACACGGTGGGGGAAAAACTGGAGCAAAGCTGCACGTGTCTCCCCTAGGCTAAAGTGTGAAAATGTGCATCTTCCAGGGACTGGTGTCCCGGGAGAGAAGCTGCGCATTTTCAGGAATATAAATTAGCAAAATACGTACGGGCGAAGTCCAGTTCCCTCACTGGCATTCCGGGGGGACGGTGGGCAGGGCTGCCCTGCGCCCCCCCCCCCCCCGGTACTGCCTGCCTGTTTCGACCGTTAGGAGAACATAGCAGGAGAGACAAGAAAAGCAGGCAGTGGAGCTGCCAAGAGTCCACGTGGCTTTGGACACGGGGAAGAACCGGGCTCAGAACGAGGCACACGGAGCTGGGTCGGTTTCCTCCCTGCCACCCCCAGCAGGGAGGAAACGGGACGGGTGTCACCACAGGCCGGCGGCACTCACGTCCCGATCGCTCCGAAGGACCACTTCGAATCGGGCAGCTGGGCAGGTGGGAGGCAAGCGAAGGCCCGGGCAGACTCTGCGGCGAGGCTTTGGGCGAGCCCGCCACCCCTGCCCCGGCAACCTGCCCCGGTCGAGCGCACCAGCGTTCGCACATCGATGCCGTGGCAGGGCCCTCCCTCCGCGGACTCCGTGCCCATGCGGGGGTCTTGCGCCGATGCTCCAGAGCGCTGCAAAGCCGAGCGGGGCGCAGGCGGGTTCAGAGAGCGGCCCAGGGGCAGGGCGGGGGCCCCTTCAGAGCGGAATGGGAGCCCGTCAGAGAGAATCGGGAGAGACCGGGTGCCGCTGCACACGCCACACTGGGGCTGCTTTGGCGCGGGGCAACAATCCTGAAGCTCGCCTGCACTGCAGATGCCCCCAGTCCCACCGGCACCTGCAGCCCCCGGGGCCAGAGGCAGGCGGGAAGACGCCGAGGACGGGCCGGCGGTCCGTACTTCTCGGAGCGCATCCGGGAAGCGGTGACAGCAAGCCGAGTGTGCGGCAGGCCCCTCCGGCTTCTGCTCGCGGGGCAAAGCCGTCTGCATCACGCCTCCAAAAGCAGGCCTGCAGATTCCCTCAAGGTGAGGATCCAGCCACCCACCTGTTCGGCTGAACTGGAACAGTTTGCACCCCGCGGTGTGGGCAGCCGGGCACATGGGCCTCCTCCGTACTCTGGGACTGGGTGCCCCCTTGGGAAAGCAGTGCGGATATTTTGGGGCGCAGAAGGCGCCCTCAGTGCACTTCCGTCTCTCCCAGATGGTGCCTGCACGCTGGGCCAGAAACCGTGGAAGGGCGCGCGAGATGCCGAGGACACGTACGCTGGTCACTGGGACACAGCGGTGTTTCTAGAGCAGGGATACCGCCTCACAGGACGAGAGGGGCCCGTCCCGTCAGACGGCTCACCTACAGCATCCGAAAGGAGGGTGGCATGACGCTCGGCACAGGTATTTCCTATGCCCACGACAGCAGCGCTCGGGCCAGAACGCAGAAAAGGTGGCCCATCGCTCCAAAACGATGCCAGGGAGGGAGGGCAGACAGCTCTGTGAGCTGCACCTGTGTGATTCGCGCCCCGCACTGCCCCGTGGAAGCACGAGGCCCTCAGCAACGAGGGGACTCACCCTTGGCTGCAGGAAGGAGCAAACGGAGGCATCCCGGTCCGGCGTGGGCAGCGAATTGAGAAAGGGGGAGAGCACATGTCAGAATGAGTGCGGCACAGCACAACAAACCGTGTCACCCTGGCCCCGCCCGGCCCACGCGCCCCCAGTTCCCGCCCTCTTCTGCCTGTCTGCCGAAAATGGAGCCCGGACGCCCCCGAGAAAGCCCCCGTGGCCGCTGCTCCAACGCCGAAGCGGCAGGCGGGTCTCTGGGCCAGTCGTGGCCTCGAAGGGCGTCGGGGGACGGCTGGAAATAGAGCATCGGCACGGCGTCCGCAGGCAGCCATAATGCGCCGCAGCGTTTGGAGTATCGCCTGCGGTTCTGCTACCCCCGCTGCAAAAAGGGATCGCAGATCTGGAATGGGAAGACGTCGGGAGGCGGCGGGAGCGTTTGGGGTTTTCCAGCGCAGGGCAAAAGGGGGCCGCCCGAGGAGGTGCCTGCGGGGCCAGGAGGGCCAGGGGGGTGGAGGCCAGCTGCGCTCTCCCCGCGGGGCTTGGGGTCCTCCAGCCGGAGGAGGAGGGAGCAGCTGCTTCACCTGCCCAGCTGTGACCTCTCCCGATTCCTCGGCAAGACGCGGCTCTGGAGGCAGCTGTACAGCCACGGCCCTAAGCAGCAGTCGCAGAGCCGGAACGGCTGCCTCCCGGAGGGGGCTCTGGAGCCACGTGGCCCGCCCAATAACAGGGCCGGCCCAGTCCGCAAGGGAGAGGCGGCGGCAAAGTGGCCGTCCTTCGGCCTGCTCACTCCCAGCCACGCCTCTTCCAGGGAGAGCCCAGAGAAGCAGCTCAGCGCTGTGCTTCCCACGCCAACCGCAGATGCCCCGGAGCGGCCAGAAGCCTTGGCTCCGTGCCACGGGAGGCGGTGGAGGCCCCACTGGTGTGGGTGTTCAAGGACAGGCTGGACAGACACATGGCGGGCACGTCGTGAGTGGAGCCGGGGGTCAGACTAGATGGCTCGGGAGGCCCCTTCTGACTCACCCTGCTTCTATGTGTCCGTCAGAATTACGGATTCCCTTTTAGCATCTTGGCTGCTCAGGAGACCAGCCAGAAGCGGGTGGCAGGGCGGACCCCCTTCGGGCAGTGCCCCCTTGCCGCCTGCTCCTTGTGGACCCCCGCCCCTCGCCTGGCCCGCCTTCCAGGGGCGCACTCACACTTGGGCTGCGCCGTCGAGAAGCTGAGCGTCAGCTTGGCGAAGAGCTCGTCGCTCTCGAAGCGGTCCTCATTCGCCTGGGTCCAGAAGCAGTCCTTGGAGAGCTCCTGCACGGTGATCTGTGGGGAGCGGGAGAGGCGGGCAGTTGGTCGCAGCCCCCCGGCTGGGCAGGCAGGCGGCAGGCATGGCAAGAGCGCAGCCGGGGTCAGGCTGGGTGGCCCGGGAGGCCACTGACCCGCTCCGTTTCTCCACCCTGCGTGGGCCACCTGGCCCCGACACCCGCAGGGCCTCGCTCGCGCCGTGCACCTGTCTCCTGAGAGCAAGGGCAGCGGCTGCACCAGAAAGCCCAGCAGCCTGACGCTGGCGTTCGTGGGGCGGAGGCCACCCCCAGGCCGAGGAAGGGCCAGCTGAAGCTGGGGGGCTAGAAGGCACCGGCAGGCGCTCTGCCTCTGCGGGCTACTTGCGCGCCACGCCGGGGCTACCGGCCAGGCGCAGCCGGGAAGGGGCAGGCGCCATCCCCCAGGGCGGCTTGCCTGGGGCACAGAGCCCCCCCCCCCCGAGGGCACAGGGCCCGTGCGGGGGGTGCCGAGCGCACCCCCCGCCCGAGAGGCCCAACCCCTGGCCGAGGTGCTCCGGGCAACCTTGTTTGGCATGGCTGGCGAGAGCGGCTCATCCGAAGCCGGAGCGGCCCGTGAGACACGGGTACTGAAGCCGGCCTGCTCGGGGCCCGGAGTTCGGGAAGGGGCTTGCCGGGGAGGTGCCGCGGCAACAGGGAAGGGCCCTGACCCACGGAGGGGCGCGTGGGTCTCACTGGGGAGCCACCCAGTGCCCGGGGCACTGCCTTGTCTCCCTGCCAGCAGGGGCTCTCCAGCTTGCAAGCTCTGCCCGGCACGTCTCGGGGCCTTGCTGCTCCTGCGCTGCCCGGGGCCCCGGAAGGGAGGCCTTCCCCCCGCCCTCACGTGCCCTTCCTTGGGCCACCGCCCAGAGAAGGGGGTCGAAGGCCCAGCTGGCCTGCAATGCTGAGCCGCCCGCCTTCGGAAGCCAGTGGGGAAGCCGGGCCTCCGCGCAAGAGGGCAGGCTTGCCCAGGACGGAGCGGCCCTCCCCCAGGCGGTGTGGGGTTCCACGGTTCCCTAACCCTAGCCCTCCCCACGCTCTCCGGCAGAGCCGAGCTCCGGCAGGGTGACAGCCACGGCTGGCCAACGCGCTGGGGCCAAAGCGGGCCCTCCGGAGGGGGTGAAACGCAGGAGCCCCCCAGCAGGAGGGCGGCCCATCCAGGAACTGGTGAGCAGGACGCCACCTTGGACCAGTTCGTTCTCCGCAGCGGAGCTTCCGGCTTATACTGCTTCTTCGGAGCCAATCCAAATGGAAGCGCTGGAGCAGCAGGAGCCACTGGCCCGAATCCCGGCGGCATGGGAGGGGGAGGCACCCCAAGCCCCATAAGAGGCGGCGGTGGAGGCACTTGCGCCATTCCGGGAAGAGGCGGCGGTGGAGGCACTTGCGCCATTCCGGGAAGAGGTGGCGGCGGAGGCACTTGCGCCATTCCGGGAAGAGGTGGCGGCGGAGGTACAGGCGCCATTCCGGGCAGAGGTGGCGGCGGAGGTACAGGCGCCATTCCGGGCAGAGGTGGCGGTGGAGGTACAGGCGCTATTTCCGCCATTCCAGGAAGAGGTGGCGGTGGAGGTACAGGCGCTATTTCCGCCATTCCAGGAAGAGGTGGCGGCGGAGGTACTTGCGCCATTCTGGGCAGAGGTGGTGGTGGGGGAGGAACGGGCACTGCCCCGGAAAGCGGAGTTGGTGCTGGTGGGGAAGCCCCGGGGAGCGGGGGGGGCGGGGACGACGGCAGACCCGGCGGCGGCTGCGGGGGCGCAGAGGTGGCCTCCGCCAGCTCCCTCTTGGCCTCCTCCAGTTCTCTTGCCAGTGCGGTGACCTGCGTGGGCGAGAGAGAAGGGGGTTGGTGGGGTGTTCGCACAGATATTCGGGGAGTGAGCAAACGTGGGCAAGCTGGTGGGACGGTGGGGGCAGAGACGGGTGGCACGCAGTCCCTGTGCCCCCGGGGGGCTCGTCTAGGCCCAGACACGCTTGCGCTCCCCACGCCCCACCCGACGGCCAAGCTCCCAGAACCACACAGAGCCCTATCCAGACCGTCCACGTTCGAACAGCAGTGCGCAGATGCAAGGGGTGGGGTGGGGTGGGGGGTGTTGCTCTGCTGGGGTCCCCCACACCCAGCCTGCCATGTCAGAAACCACAGAGCTGCTGGCGGGGTTTCCGGGTCCTCTTCTCAGCAGAAGGCCGGGAACAGCGCCCCTCCACCCGGCCGGGGCTTCGAGAAAAGCACCTTCCCCACCCGGGGCAGAGGAGGGGATCGAATGCAACCGCACACCAAGGTTCCCCGTGGCTGCACCAGCGGCCGTGCAGTGCGCATCGGCGCCTGCACTAGTGAGATCGTGGGAAGGGGTGCCACGGCCTGCGCCACCGCTGCCACTAGCAGAGCCGCGGTGCCGGATCGAGGCCTCGGCGGCGATGCGCGGAGGGCCGCTGCGAGCGCCAGAGGGTTTGCGCTAGTGCCGCGACACCGCTGCACAAAACCCGCCCCGAGTCCGCCGGAAAGCACCCCTTGCGCTCTCCTGCACCTGCGCGACCATCACCCCGTCCCCCATCCAAGACTCAAGCTGCACGTTGGCGATGCTGGAAGGAGCAGGCCAGGAAAACATCCAGGGCCGGAAGTGGGGCCGGGCCACCACGACCCGAGGGCTCCGCCGCACACTCACCGCAGCCAGCTCGTGCAACCCGAAGCGCGCCCGTGAGCACGCCACGTGCTGCTTTCACCAGCTCCGACAAAACAGCTTCGTCTGTTCCCCTCCGGCCCGGAGCTCTGCCCAGGCTCCTCCACCGAGCGAGTTGCAGGACTCGCTGCTCACAGCTCCCAGCCCGGCTCTGGACGCCTGCCGGAAGGCCAGCTCCACGCCAGGAGAGGCCGGCAGCGCTCCCTCCCGCGCACCAAGCACAAGTTTCTTGGCTTGCGCTAGGAAGCCCCAGGTGTCCCTCACGCCGAGGGGGACCCTTCTGGCTGAAGGACACTCCCCCAAATGGCCCGTGTCAACAGCAGGGGCCACACTGCATGCGGAACAGACGGAAAATCACTTTCCTATTTTTGGCGGAAGGGAAAACACTAAGAATCACTTCAAGGACCTTGCAGATAAGGTGACTTCAACAGCTCGGGCCTGGGAATCCCTGAAGGAGCGCCGTCCCCCCATGTGCCCCCCGCTCCTTGAGAGCCGAGGCGGAGGCCCTGCCCCGGGAGCCCAACGCGGGGGAGCGCAGGAGGGCCTTCCCCGTGGTGGCACCCCGACTGTGGAATACGCTCCTCGGAGGGTTCGCCTGGCGCCGACATTATATTCTTTTTGGCACCGGAGAAAGCCCTTTTTATTTTCCCATCATTTTAGTGTTTAATTGATTTTAACTGGGGCTTTATTACTTCAGATTGTCAGATGCTGTGCTGTTTGGTTTTATTCTACCCGTTTCTTACTGTAAGCCGTCCTGAGACGCTCGTGGTGGATGGGACAGAAAAGCTTTTCATACATAATAAGTTAATGAACACCCACCAATAAAGGTGGCTTGAATTGTACCGCACCTTTCTGCCGGAAAGGGATACTTGAGCCAGCTCACAAGCCAGTCGTCTAAAGGCCCGGGCGGCTCGTGTGCGGAGTGGCGCGGTGGCGGTGGGCCTCTCCTTCGCCGCAGAGGCCCTGCCACCGCACGGCCGCGGGCAGTTTCCACGGACTCTACGTGGAAAGCGCGGCCCCCGCCCGCCCTCGGCAGCCAACGGAGACCCCGACGGCGCTCGTGACGCCCGCGCTCGGCCCGCACCGCTCGGCCCCCGACCGCACCTCCTCGTGCAGCAGGGCGCCGGCCGCCTCCAGGCTGAGCTTCTCCGAGCTGAGCTGCTGCTGCTGCTGCTCCAGCGCCGCCTTCTCCTGAAGCAGCTCCTGGATCCGCTGCTCCAGGTCGCTCTCCTTCTTCTTCATTTCCACTTGCAGCTCGTGGCGCGCGGTCAACTCGGCGTCCAGCTGAGGGGAAAGGATGACGCTCCGTAAGCAGGCCAGCGTGCCCCATCCTGCCTGGTCCCAAGGCCGAGGCCGGTGCCCCTTTCCGAACCACGTAATTCAGAACATGGAAGAGGCTTCGGCAAACAGATTTCGTCAACTTTAGGCCCATCAAGGACAGGAAGGAAAGGGAAAAGTTCAGACAGAGAAATGTTCGGTGCAACAAGAAGAACCAGGCCCCTTGTCAAAAAGGAGATTGGGGAATAAGCAAGCGGTGCTGGATGAATGTGGACTGTCAGTCCGGTGCCGCCGTGAAGGCAGGCTGGGGGTCGGGATGCCAGGGGCGGCTGAGGGTCCTCTGAGGGATTGTGCTGGAGAGGCACTCGTTCCTGCAGCCTCCAGGGCAGGAGGCGGCTCCGCCTGCGCTTGCTTTGGCGTGTGGGCGTCTGTATTTGGGATTGCTTTAAAGATGCCCGTGAAGCACCATGGCTGTGATGCCCAGAATTTTAAAAAGGGGAAAGCCAAGCCAAGGGAGAGAAGATGCCTAAGTAAGACCAGGCAGCCGTGACTTAAATGGGATTCAGCAAGGAAAAGGAACAGCGAGGGAGCAACATGAGACGCAGGGGGAAAGCAAGCGAGAACGCGCAACCTTCTTCTCCAGCTCCGTGGCTTTGGCTTCGCTTTTCACCACCTTTGTTTGATCGATCAGGTTATCTGGAGGAAAACAGCAGACCGGTCAGGAGCCACGCGAAACCTCCCCCTGAAGCCACCGCCTCCGGAGGGCCCCGTCCCGTCCACCTCTGGTCCCCCTCACTTGGAGGCACAAGCAGAGACTGCTGAGGGTCTCTCTGCCTCTCGGATCCTCAGCGCTCGGCCCCCAAGAGGGACCCCCTCCTCCACACGGGCACCGCCACAGCAGCCCTGGGGACGGCGGAGTCCCTGCACACCGAAACGGATGGGGAATGCCTGCCAGGGTGGCCAAAACCTCCCTGGGAAGAGGCGCTGTGGCAGCCCGTCCCCGGTGCGGAAATCAGCCCGGCGCCTGGCTCTTTGCCAGCGCAGGGAATGGGCGACACGCAGCGCAGCAGCCGGGAGGAAAAGGGCTTGCGTGCCGGGTCCGGCCACCCGGTGGCGGGGCCAGCCGCCCCCGACTCACCGATGAGCCCCTCGATATTCAGCTCAAGGTGCCGGCACCGGAAGTCCGGGTCCGCCCCGTTCTTGTGCAGGACGATCTGCGAGACGCACTCGTCGATCAGCCTGAAGTACTGGGGCCTGGAGCAGGAGACGGGAGAGCTCTGGGGGCTGCGGGAGGCCCGGGGAGAAGCCGGGGCAGCGCCACAGACGGACCCCGGACCGGGCACACGGCCCTCCTGAGGCCGGCGGGCGGCGGCTCCCGGCGGCCCGCGGCCCTGGCCACCCGGGGGGCCACCCCTCGGGGGCCACATGCCGGCCGGGCACTCCGCCGGCGGGGGCCTCACCTGGCCTCGTAGTCGTTGCGGACGAGCAGCAGGTGCTGCAGGAGGGAGAGGAAGTGCGGCTCCGCCTGGGAGTCCCTCACAGTGTTGAGCAGCACCTGGAAGACCTCCCCGAAGTCGGTGCGGAGCGAGTCAAGGACGCAAAGTGAGTGGGGGAGCGGGCAAGGACCCCCGGGGAACCTCCCCCAGCCTGGCAGAGAGCTGGGATGCCCAGGCGGAGGCTGAGCCGCGCGCCCCGCTCGCTGCTCCGGAGGCTGCCGAGCGCAAGACGCGGCACACGCCGCACGAGTCCTGCTTCGGGGTCGCTCCCCGGCCCCCACGGAGAGGCTGCTGCGGCAGCGCAACCGAGGCGGGCTCCCTTCCCGTCCCTGGCCGGCCCTCTGCGGACAGACGCGCCCACCCGGGCCACCCGCGCACGCACTCAGGAAAGCCGCTCCCTCACCACGCGGCCCGTGGCCCATCCGCCCCGCCGAGCCTCTGCCTGGTGCCCAGGCCTGGCCTCGTTCGCATGGTGCTCCCTGCCCTTCCAGGGCCCCCCGTCCCGCAGGCCAGCCCCACAGGGCTGTTCGTGGCAGCTGGCCGGCTCATCTCGCACCCGTGCCAGGGTGCGACAGCTCCTCTGCCTAAGCGCCTTGCTTCTCTCTCTCTCTCACTCAAACACGCCAGGGGAGGCAGCGCCCATGCCTCTGCCTGGCCCACTTCGGCCCATGGGTCCCCGAGAACCGAGTCAGCTGCAGGGCCCTCCCCGGGCCAGGCCAGGCCAGGCGAGACCCAGGCAAAGGAAGGATATTCCATCTCCACGCGGACGTCCTCCAGGCGGGCCCGGAGCTCCGTGGAGTCCTCCTCGCCATACTCCTCGAAGGCCTGCAGCTGCACCTTCAGCTCCTCGTTGTCTTGGGCGTGCAGGTCCTGCGGGAGACCCGGTCGCGTCAGCGGGGGATCCTCAGGGCGCACTCCTGCTCCCGCCCACCGAGGAGCCCTTGGCTCTCCTGCCCCAGGTGCGCACGCGCTCTGGCCTCACCCGGGGGGAGGGCTGGACTGTCCAAGCCCGACCCGACCTGACCCGACCCTGAGGGTGCAGCAGGGCACTGAGAATCCCAGGCCCCGCAAAGCAGGGCGCGGCATCCCCAGCCCGCTTCCCGGCTCGTGCTCCTCCCACCGCACAAGGGGCGCCCCTTCCACGCACCTGCAGGGGCCTGGAGGACCCATGGAAGGGGCCTGGCAGCCATGCCAGCTCCGTCCCCTCCACGGGTCCCGCCCGCCTGGGGCGCACTTGAGGAGGGGGACTCCTGGCAGCGCCCCCAGCTCAGCAGAAACCCCCGGACTGCCCGCCACGGCCCCGGGCAGCCCGCGCGCTCCGCGGGGCCCCGGGCGGCCGATTTCCCCTGCCTCACCTTGAGGATCTCGCTGAGGCCGGAGCGCATCAGCTCGCTGCGGATGTGCACCCGGAAGTCGAGCTCGTCCGCCGGAATGATCAGGGCGTTGATCAGCTGCAGGCAGGCGACCTGCAAGGGCCGGCAGATCCGCGTCAGGCATGCCAGGCCGGTCCCTCGCCCCGGGAAAGACACTGCCGGGCGCCCGCCGGGCAACGCCAAAGAGAAGTGCTCTTCCAGCTCTGCTCCAGAAAGTGGCCCAGCAGCCCAAGCCGCCGGCTTCGCTCTTCCACCGGCAAGTGAGGGCCGACGGCCACTGGCCATGAGGTCAAGCGGCCCCGCTGGCAGCTGGGAGGAGGGGAGGGGAGGGGAGGCTGTGCCAGGCCGTTTCCGGTCCCGCTTGCTACCTTCAATGCCACGGAGGTGCCGTCCCTCAGGCCGTCCAGGAGGGGCTTGAACCTCTCCACGTCGTCCATCTCTGCCCGTTCCGTCAGGGCGCCCAGCACCTGCTCGTGCCTGCGGGAGAGCAAGGCGAGCGCGTTGGTGCCCCCCTCCCCGGCAGGGCGTGCTCCCTCGCCCGATGCAGCGATTGAGCCCACCGGCTTCCTCGAAGGAGCACGAACCCCTTGCTATGGCTCCTGGATTCCCACCTTGCTTCTCGCTCTCATGCTTACAGAAGAGACGGAAAACTGGCAGAAAAGCTAAAAGGATCCAGTGAAGAAGTAAGATGGAAGTAAACTTGACCAGTTACCTTTGTTCCGTTGGCCAGCAGGACTTTAAAGACAGTATCCCGAACCCTTGCAAGGGCTGTCAAGCGGTCCCTCCCCACCTGCGGGCACCTGTGTTCCTGCGCCTGCAGCACCCTCCCCGGCCGCACCTGGGCACCTGAGGGGTCGCGCGGGTGGGCAAGGCCTGGGACGCCCAAAGGCTTGGCGGCTCATGCCCCGCCTGCTAGGGCAGCCCTGCTCGCTTTTTGGGCTCCTTTCTTCACAGAAAGACACCTCCTGCTTGCTCAAGGCAACCCTAAATGACTCCCCTCCCCAGTGCAGCAGGCTGGACTGCAAACCGCTTTCGGCTACGCAGCACACAGGACCTGGGCCTGATCCTTCGAAAGCACCTGCCGTCCCATGAGCTGCGGCAATTTTGGGGTCTCTCTGCCTCCCCGCGTCCCCGCCAGCTTCCAGCAGAGCAACCCTGGATGTGCTTCTCTTGCATTCTCGCTGCTGGGTCAGAAAAGGCCTGCCATGAAAAGCGGCGCAGGGCGTTTTGTGGAGTGGCGGTGTGAAAACGGACAGCGGTGCTGGTGCGGCTCCGATTGTGAGCCGAAGGGAGCTCCTGGGGGACACTCGCCCCCTTCCTCCAGCCACCCCGGGTGTCCTGGAGAGCCCCCCAGGGGGCACAGGCCCTCCGGAGCAGCCCGGGACCCACAGCAAAGGGGGCTGCCCGACCGCAGGCACCCCGCACGCGCTCCCTTCCGCCCGGGTGGCCCCGAAGCCAGGCAGGGCCGGCGTGCAGCCCAGGCACGTGCCGGGAAGGCCCCGAGTGCCCGCGGGCTGTGGGATGGCCACTTACATGTCCACGGGCTGCGGCAGGATGCAGAGGGCGGAGAGGAGCTTGATGGCGTCGATCATCATGGAGGGGACCCTGGGGTCCACGGCCCGCGCCAGCAGCAGGACCCCCTCCTCCGTCTCGAGCATGGTCTTGATGCCGAACTGGAACGAGACGAGGGCAGCGCTGGGGGCCTCCACCTGCTGGAGCAGCCGCAAGGCGGCGGGCGGGGGAGCAGAGCGAGGGGGCGGGCAGCGACCCGTGGCCCTGCCTCTCCTCCCCTCGGACCTCCGGCTGCAGGGATCCGTCTGGAAGGGCCGCACTCCGGGAGAGGCCAGCCCGGACCCGGCGCTCGTGCTGCAGGTCGGGCGGCCGGGCAGGAGCGGGGGCTGCGGTGGACGCGGCCGTGCTTGCCAGCACGGATCGGGCCGCTTCCCCCGGGCGAGACACCCAGCGGGGATGCTGCCGCGGGGGCCTGGCCACGCTTCGGTGAGGAGGAGCGCCCGCGCTGCCCAGCACCGCTGAGAAGGGCGTGGAGAGGCGAGGCGGGAGGGCACCGGGCTCCCCGACATCGCTCGGCCTCATCCTGATGCCGGGACGCGTGTTTCTCGGGAGAAACAACTATTCTCCGGCCCTGCGCTCGGCCCCAGCACTGGCATCCCGCCACTCAGAAGTCTTAATGTTTTAATAAATAAAATAAATAAAAGTCCTGCGCTGGAGCCCAAAGGTCCCCGCGGGGTCAAGCTGCCCTCTTAGGGTCTCTCCAGATGGCTGCCTAAGCTGCTCCTGCCCTGAGCCGTTCTCCTGTTTATCGCCAGTTCTGCCTCCCGCTCATTCCCACTGCCCCTCGTCCAGGCCCGCCGCCGCCTTTCCTCTGCCCCTCCCCGGCTGCCTCCTCCCTGGTCCATCCCGGAGGAAGGGGCTCTCGCCCTCCGCCCGTGCCCTGGCCGCCCTCGGCGCTGCGCTGCTCTCGGCTCGCCCGCCCAGCCTCTGCTTTCTGGACGCTGGTGTGTTCCGGGCCAAGAACCCCTCCTTCTGTGGCCTCGCGCCACCCATCCTTTCTTGCCGCCCCGAACAACCCTTGAGCCACGCTGACTGGTGCGCACGACACAAAGAAGCTCCCCCACCATCGCCCCCGTGACTGCCCCCACGAGCTCCCCTCGTGCTCTGCCCATCGCCTACCCGCTTGTGTCTGGTTTCAGAGGGGGGGGGCAGAGACTGCCCCTTCAGCCCGTCCTTACGTGGGGCTCGGCCACACCCAGAAGTTGCCTCACTTCCCACCTCGGGGCACCTATCAGTTCCACAGACGCAGGAACCAGCCGTCCACACGCGCACCCGTGACGAAGGGGACGCTCACCTTGTTGTTCATGAAAGCCTTTAAGCACCGGATAATTTCGTGCTTGATCCGGATGTCGTACGGCCTGGGGAAAAGTGGGAAGCAACCCGGTGGCAGGCCTGTCGCGCACCCTTCCCGGTGTCCCACAAGCCACACAGCGGCACGAGGTGCTGCACCCAGGCGCTCCGGCCCTCCGCCGACCCTCGGGGGGAGGAGGCTCCGAGCCCGACCATGGGCCATCTTCCCCGTCCCCCCGTGTGCACCCGTGGTGCGCCCGATCCCATCGTCCCCGCCCCGCCCGGGAGCCAAGCGCAATGCGCTGCTCGGCCTCTTGCGGCACCGTGCGGCTCTCCGTCCCTCTCCGCGAGCCTGCGGGGCGCACGAGCAGCCTTCCTCGGAGAGCGCCTTACCCGGAGGCCTCGTCCTTCTCGTCGTGCAGACCTTTCAGGATGTCCAGGAGGCAGTTGAGACCCTCGGCTCCGAATGTCTGCACCCAGCTGGAAAGATCCCACAGTGAGACCGAAACCAGCGCGGCAGGTGCAGGGGGGCCCCGCGTCCCCCAGCACCCCGCCTTCCGCTCCCCACGCCCCCCGCTGCCTCGCCCGGTGCCAGCCGCCCCGCGCGCACCCAGGAGGGCCGCCGGCCCCGCCAGACGCCCACCTGACGGGGTTGTTGTTGAGGGACACGCGCAGGGACTCCAGGCAGGCCAGCAGCTGGGCGTCCCGGAGGCCCGACTTCAGCTCCTGGATGTTCATCACGGCCGACTTGGAGCTCTCCTTCTGGCTCATGCCCTGCGTGGGGAGAGGGCCGGCCGGGCCAGTCAGCCGCAGCCCGAAGCCGAGCAGGCCGCACGGGGCCGCGGTTTTCGAGCAAGCCCCACGCAGGCCTTGCGCCGAACCGTCTTCAGAGCCATGCACTCCGCTGGTTACCCGCTCGACTACGCGCCCAAAGCGGGCGGAAGGCCCGAGCGACAGCATTGCTGCCTTGGAAAGCCGGCTGCTCACCCGGATGGTTCCGGTCCCGGGTTGCACTGCCGCCTGTCCGCATGAGGAAGACTCCCCCCCACTCAATGTGATCATCCACTACACTGCGAAGGCGATTTCCCAGTACACCAAAATAGAGGGACACACCTGCGCGTGAATCAGGGCTTCGCGCTGCCGCAGCTGGGACCCTCCCGGGAAGCTTGGGCAAATCTAACGCCACGTGCTCAGGCTGTTTTATGTGGGAGGATCGGATAAAAGCTTCGTGCCAAACTATGGTCTGACAGTACAGCCATGCCAGGATGGCAGCAGCGCCGGCAAGCCTTCGTTTGCGTGTGGCCACTGGGAGAGCCTTCTGGCCACGGGGAACTAGCCACCGTTCGCAGACCTCCCGTGTCACAGTCCGAGCCACCAGTTTGCCTCCTAAGCAGGAATTCTGAGTGGGCAAAAAATGCCACTCTCGCCGTGCTTAGGGAAGCCCCAAAGACACACAGGAGGGATGGTTAGAGAATCTGGATACCTTCCCCACGTGCCTGCCTGCCTGCCTGCCCCTCGAGATCAGAGGCAGAGGCCCTTCTCTGGGAGCCTCCTTTGAAGGAAATCAGGAGGGTGGCTACCTGGAGAAGGGCCTTCTCGGGGGTGGCACCCCAACTGTGGAACACGCTCCCCGGGGAGGTTTGCCTGGTGCCGTTTCTTTATTCTTTTCAGCATCAGGCAAAAACCTTTTAATTTTCCAAACATTTTAATATCTAATTCCTGCCCCTTGAGATCAGCAGGAGAGGCCCTTCTCCGGGAACCCTCCGTGAAGGACATTGGGAAGGTGAGCACCCGGAGGAGGGCTTTCTCTGCGGTGGCGCCCCGACTATGGACTGTGCTCCCCAGAGAGGTCTGCCTGGCGCCTTCATTATATGTTTTTCGGCGCCAGGCCAAGACCTTTTTATTTAAACGGAATTTTAATTGTTAGCTTGTTTATTGATGTTATATCTTTGGCCAGGGCGTTTCCAATTATACTGTTTTTATATGATCATATGTACTTATTTATTGTTGTAAGCCGCCCCAAGGCGTCGGCAAATGGGACGGCATAGAAGTTGACTGACTGACTGACTGACTGACTGACTGACTAAATAAATAAATAAATAAATGGTTTTATCTTTGATTTTATCACTAATGGTCGGATGCAGTGTGTTGTTTGTTGGTGTGTTGTTGTGTTTTTGTAAGCCATCCAGAGACTGTGGGTCTCAATGACATATAAAAACTTCAAATAAACAAACAAATCATCTACCTCTACAGGATTCTCTGCTAGGTGCTGTGGCGACAAATTTCCAGCACAACCCTGAGACCGGAACTTGGTTGGGCGGAATCCATTTTGGGGCAGGGATGTGGAGGCAGCTGCTCTGTGGCTAGGAATCCGACAGATTCCCTGGGCTCGGTCCCCAGACTCCGGTCTGCCTGGCTGTGGCCGTGAGCCTGAGCACCCAGCTTTGGCGTGGGGCTGGGGAGGATCCCAGCCCCGGACAACCGCCACGGGCGGCACCCGAGCTCCACGCCACTCGCCGCAGCCCCGGCCCGTGCCGTCGTCCGTGCTCAGGAGGAGGTCGCTGAGCATGCCGTCTTCTCTGCAGACGCTCCCTCAGCTTGGCTCACTTTCTAAGCCCGAGCTGAGCACAAGGCCAAGTCCACGAACTCTCGAGAGACGGACTCTGCAGAGGGTCCTTGCAACACCGTCTTGGTTGTAGAGCAGCAGTTTTGGGAAACGAAATGGCTAAAATATTTTTCAAGGAGTTGTTTTTCCTGCTTTGTTTCGTTTCCCATCATTATTTGCAAAACAGCGCAACAGTGAAATTACACAACAGCACAACAGAAATGACAGGGCGCTCGCAAGAGGCTGCTGCTGGGAGTGGTTACCACAAAGACCTGAGCCTCAGCCCGAGGGGCTTCCCAGGTGGCTGGGGATTTCCTCCAAACAGGCCCTTCCTCAAGCTCCTAATTTCGACTGAGATGCTGTCACGGCTATGCACATTTTTGCTAAAAAATAAAGTCTTCCGCATTTCAGAAAAACAGTGCATTCACAGAATTCTGCCACTTATGCTCCAAAGTTTAGACTCCTGCCAGAAAATGTGGTGTCAAACGGACATACGAATCCCACAGTTGGTATACAATGCAGCTGTTCCTCTGCCTGAAGAGCGGCAGGGAAAGCTTCTGGTGAAATACTCGTATTTCACATATCATCCAATTTAACTGCCCAAACTGGAGTTTTTCTCCTCCTCGGAATCTTACCAGCTTCATCAGAGCAAAGGGTTTAATTAGACCCTACAAAGTTTTCTCTCCTCCCACATAGCTACAGGCAAGGCAAAGGGAGGGGGGCTCCATCTACGGAGGGGCAAATGAGCTTTGTCTGAACTTGCCAACGTTTCCGAACGCCAGCTCTCAGCCAATCTCCTCCAGACAACAGGGGCACAGCCGGGACAAGGCGGGAGCTGGCTGAGCGCACCTCTGTTACAAGCAAGCCCTCATTAAGGCCAACCACAGCCTGTCTCACCCGGACAACCTGGCAAGGAGCTGTTGCGCAAGACAAGGGTCAGACGCTCTCCAGCACAGCAGTACCCAAAGTGGGAAGGGCGAGGAGCACTTGCTCCGTCGCCAGGGCCCAGGACACGCCAGTAGCGGAGACCTGGGGCCTCTCGGCCTGCCTGGCTCACTCCCAACCCGGGTGCCGGCAAAAGTCCAAGAAGGTCCCCCCAGGAGCGGGCCCCTTTCGCCCACGGCTTAGCAGCCGCCTTCGGAGCAGGCCGTCAATCTCCCCTTAGAGGGAGCAGCGCCGAGCCTTGGCCTGCGGTCCGAGGCAAACCGAGCGGAGCGACCAGCGCGCCCAGGACGCTCTCCGGCTTGCCCCCGCCCGGCTCCAGCTTCCAGAGCCGGGAACTCACCGCTTTGGACGTGTGGAGGTACTGGGAGACCATCTCCCTCTTGATGCCCATGTCCTTCTCCCGCAGGGGCTGCTGCTTTTCCTCGTTGAGGTTCATGTCCACCTGCGGAAGAAAGCGGAGCAGATGCCTTCATCAGGAACAGGAACCTTTGGCCTCTCGGGGGCACTCGAGGGGTGCCCAGGACAGCGGTGGGAGGGGAGGGAGTGGCCCCAGAAGCTGCCAGCTGCAGGCAGAGGGGGCGCTGGCCCCACCGGCCGCAGGTGGAGCCCTCGGCCGCTGTCCGTGCTCATTGCTGGGACTGTGTCTGCGCCGGCAGGCAGGCAGGCAGGCAGGCAGGCGTGCCACGGGGGTGCTCTCCACCCGCTTGCCTCCCGCAGATTCGTAGCTCAGCTTCGCTCCCGAGCGGTCCCCTCGCCCACCTTCTCCTGCCCTGAAACCGGCCCCCAAAGCGCGACCCACGGAGAGAGGAGCGCCCCCGAGCGGCTTACCAGCATCTGCTCAAACAGGACCAGCACTTCCTCGTCTGAGATTTCCTGCAGCATCTGGCCCGAGCTGGACATGTCTGAAGAAGTTGCCGAGGAATTCCTGTGAGCCGCACTCGGCTTCTCTTTCTCCTTCTTGATTCTCATGCTGGTGAATCTCTCGATCTAAGGAGGAAAAAGCCGAGGAGGGGCTGGCACGGCCGTCCTCCGGCTGCCCCTTAGCGAGCCCATTTACAGGTGCTGCGCTTGTGTGTGTGGCTCTGTTACAGATAAGGGCTGCTGGGGGGCCGTCTTGATACTTTTTGGAAAGCGTGAGGCAATTTAAAACGTCACCTGCCGCACCCTCTCACCCACTGCACCCACATCCATGAGGACACCCTGAGCATTCTGGGAAATGTCCCTTGCCCACACGCGGAAATGCCGGCGGACCCGGGCAGCAATTCTCTTCGGCCTCACACACTCCGCGAGAGCCCAGGCCGGCCCCGCTGCGGCTCTCGCGCTCAGACGATGCACGTAGCAAAAACCAGCACGAGCGGTGAAGCCAAGCACTTCGGGAGCAGCAGAGGGTGGCGTTCCTGATTCTGGGGCTCGTTCAGAAGTTACATGCAGCCATGGTTTCACCCAGACGCTCCAGGCGGTCAACAGTGCAAATGCTGCACCACCCCTCCAACCGACGGCAGCCCGTGTGGGAAGCGCTGGCTGCTCCGGCCTGTCCAGCTGGCAGGGGAACCTGGGGCAGGGCTGGAGGGCAACCGCGATGCCTGGCAGAGGACGGGCAGGAGAGGCTATCCCTCCAGGCGCCCCGACCGGCTGCAGCCCTGAAGGGCCTTGAAGGCCACAAAACGGGCTTGGACTTTGGCAGCTGGCGAGAAGGACCCTCAGCTGGGCCACGAGACAAGCAGGCCGCCGGCTGAGAGGACGCGGCAAACGTTCCGGCTGGCCAGTTCCGGCTCGGGCATTTCAGACCAGCTGAAGCTCCCAGGCAATACTGAAGGGAAGCACTGTGTCGAACATCCTTCCCTCTGCTTATTCATCCCATTTCTATACTGACCGATAGCCAGCCATCTCTGGGCAGTTTGCATCTATTTCAATCACAAAATGCTACACAACCAAGCGCAAGGGCTCTTGCAAAAGTTTCCGCACTTTTATTAAGAATGCTTTTTAAAAAATCACACCACTTTTCTACACAGACATCTTGCTTTGCGGTGCATTTTTCCCCATGTCATACCACCTTTTTAATTCCATCAGCAAAAAACACATAAAATATATTTATAAAATATAAAAGTGTGGAAACTTTTTGAAGATCCCTCGTATAATGGAAAAGCTTAAAACAATAGCATAAGATAAAAATAAACAGAATAAACAGAGAGTCCTATGGGCTACAGGGCGGCATGCCAATGTACTAAACCCAACCAAACCAGATATAGCAGCGGTGCAAAGATTTATAATACAGTGATGGTCTTGCAGCAACAGAGCCTGAGTCTCTGCTGGCAAGCCGAGGGCACCCAAGCCCTGGAGCCGAGCCGAGCCGAGCCTCACAGGGAAGGGCAGGCCGTGGAGCTCTCGCCCAGGCGGGCAAGCCACCCACAAACAGTGGCCCTGCCTCCTCCGGACTGGGTCGCAGCTCCCTGGCCCCCTTCCAGGTCATTACTGTGCCCAGGCACCGGCTCCGAACAAAGGAACTCGAGGGGAAGCAGGAAGCGATTCTCTTTATGACTGTTCACAGCTCGATGCATTTCAGAGAATTACCCTCTCCTTCCTCAGAAGCAATAACCCAGATTCAAAATAAAAGAAAACATAGCAGGAGATTAACACACGGCACTCAGAATTAATATTTTAGGATATGGAGTTTTAAGCCCACACTCTCCCAGCAATCAAGCACACAGGACATTAATAAAGAGAAGCGTTGGCACTGGAGCGCAGCGCCTCTGCATTACAAGGTATCTGCTCCAGGCTGGTTTTACACACACCGCGGGCCTGCCTCGGTTTCCGCACTGTGCACCTTAAACCCTCCACCATGACCCCGAAAGCTCTGGCGCGTGTGCTCAGCGGCTCTTGCAAAGAGACTTCAGGGACAACACAGCACACGGTCCCCCTCCGAGCGCAGCCTCCCTCCCGGGGAGGCGTGAACGCAGCAGCCACACGACGTGTGTTGCCCCAGGAGTGGAAAGATCTTTTTGTCCCTGAGGTCCTTTGGAGAAGCTGGAAGACTCGCTTCTTCATGCTAGTCAAAACTGGGCATTTTACTTTTGCAAGTCAATAATTTTGCAATTGCTTCCAAAAAACCAACCAAACAAGCAAAAAGCAGCTCCTTGTTGGAAGGGTGCCGCCAGTCCTCAGTGACAAACGGAATCACATGGTTGGACGTGTGTGCGCAACATATTTTGTAGAGTCTAGAAGTTGTTAAAACAGCAGTGATCACGATCAGGTCTGTTGTCTCCAAAATAAAAAGTACGTGGCTAGGAAAAAGCGCTCCCAGTCTCTTCTGGATGCCCAAGAGCAGTGGGAAGCCAAACTGCACTTCGAAGCTGCACCTTAAGGGAACAGGCAGACAAGAGACGGAAAGAAGGAAAATACATAACTGGAGGTGCTTACCTCATCAGCCATTACCCGCTTCAGATTCTGCAAGCAGAAAAAAGGGAGAGAGAGAGAGAACTAGGTCAGTGACACAAGGAACCCCCAAAACCAGGAAAGAAAGCTGCCAGAACACCCAGAAAGTGGGTTTTGCCCAGATTGTGTACACCCCCTTCACGACCAAGCAGAACACTGTTAAACCGTTTTGTCTGCATTCCCAGGATTTTATTCCACAGCAGCTGCACAAGAGGCAAAGCCCCAGCAAGTAGCTGCGCCGAATTCTGGAAAGATGCTTCAGAGCATCCTCCGGCCAGGAGAGGCCACGCTGAAGAGCTTGGCCTCCGAGGGCTACGATTTATGGGACAGTGCTGGGCGAGGCTGCTTGCCGCCGTTAGGGAGCGGGTCTGGATGGGAGCATTCAACAGCCGGGCAACCCTCAGTGCGACTCGGCACTGGGGCCTCTCAGGCAGGATGCAGGCAGAAATCCACCGGGGCGGCCCCTTGGCTCCTCCAGAGCAACGACGGGGAGCTCCCCAGACGGCCCCGGGCGTTGAGGTCGCTGGTTGAGAAAGAAACGTTGGTGCCCTCGCCCCAGTGCTGTGGAGCACCGTTCAGAGCTGAAACGCTGGTGGTGCCGGCTGCAGGTGCGGCTTCCGCAAAGATGCCTGGAAGCGCCCACCTGTGAGGTGAGGAATGAGGTGGTGAAGGTGCAGGGGCCAGGGCCCGGCTGAAGACCAACGGGCCTGGTGACCAAGCCAGGTGGGGGCTCTCCCGCAGAGGGCAGTCCTCTGAGCAGGGTGGTTTAACCGGGAGTCCGGCACGGGGCAGGGGGCCGTTCCCAGCAGCTCTTGAATAGTCCCATGATTCACAAAGTGTTGCTTGAGGGCGACAAAAGGGGATTCTCCCGGGAACGCCAGTGCAGCCCCAGGACCGCACGGGAGGAGTGCCGGGAAAGGATCCTTCCGGACACGCACTTGCGCCACGTTTAATTTTTAACACCAGGCCGCCTTCCAGCTCCCTTAGAGGCCCCTCAAGCAGCTCAAAGCAAGCAACAGAAAGAGCAGCTCCATTGCAAATGCAAACAGCTTCTCGATGCCCGTCGCCTGTTTACCTGACCCGGCAGTGGGAGGGCGGGAAGGTGCAGCATGCGGGAAGAGTGCAGGGCTGGGACAGGGGGCGTCCCGGGACCTTGCCCCAAATTGGCCAGGACACTCACTGGGGCTCTGGGGCCGTCACTGACTATTGGCCTGGCCCGCCTCACAGGGTTGTTGTACGGATAGCAAGGCGAGGAAGGTGCTCAGCAACGCCTCCTTAGAGGGAAGGCAGGACATAGATGCAGCGAACGAATAAATGAGGCAGCCTGCAGCCAGGCAGGGGCCCCGCGCGGCCCTGCAGAGGCCTTTCCTCCTGATGCAGATGCCCCTCTCGGAGGACGGCGGCCGCGGGACGCGCCTCTCAGCCGGGCTCTGCCAGGGCCAGAAGGAGCGCAGGGGGAATGGGGGGCAGGACCAACGCGGGCAGCGGCATCCGCCTTGCGAGGGAAGAGCTGCATGCACCACACGTGCCGGAAACACTTTGCCGCCTCTCATTTATTTACTTGCGCTTTTACATACTGTTTATCAGCAATGTGGCTCTCACAACGTGTACAGTAAAACCGCATAAAAACAACATATAGTACACAACATCAACAACCATCCTGATGCGCAGTGAACCTGTCACAGGACATCTGCACAACCAACAGAACACAAACAACGGCTGGGAACGATGCGTGGCCGTATTTTGACAACGAATCCACATGCACCGATAGAGACATACGCCACAGCCCTTACGAGCAGCACAGCATCTGGAGAGCCCCACCGTGTGCTTGCCACGCGGTCCTGCCAAGTTTGAAGTGGGTGCAGGACTGATAAATATCCCGGCTTCCCTCCAGGGGCAGGGAAGAGGCCGGAGGCCGGAGCAGAAAGCCGCACCGTCATCTGCGGGGAGCTCCGTCCAAGTGTTTATGGAGGGTGTTGGCCCAGCCTTGAGAGGCCCTTCCAACGATGAAGAAATGCTGTTTGCTTGTCTCTAGGGCAACCGGCCGAGGCCTCCACCCACCGCCGGCCGGCACGCTCCCGCAAGCCGAGGGGAAGCGCCGGGGGCCGCCTCGAGGCGGGTTCCTCAGCCCCGGGACTGGCCGAGAGCCCCTGGCCGAGGCCCCCACCTCCTCCGGCAGCTCCGCCCGGGCTGCCCCGAAGGAACCCATTGCAAGCCTGGCGGGCTTTTCTGCTTCCTCCACATGGGCCAGGCCGGGACAGGAGCAGGGAAGGGAGGTGCCGTGGCAGCCGCCGGGCCCCGAGCACGCAAGGGGGCCCCGACGAACGGGGAATCGCCGAGCAGCCCCCCGGACTCTGGCCCAGGCACACGCGCATGTTGCTCACCGCGTCCCCGTCCCTCCCTCGCGGCAAACAATATGCCTTCTCGGCGAGGCTGCTCGGCCAGCGCACGCTAAGGGCCACCCCACGCAGGCCCCCCAGCAACACGCATGCGCTGCGCCCTTCCAACCACGCCTGCCTGGTCCTGGTCCCCACGTGCTCCAAAGCCTGGAGGGCAGGGGGTGCGCGCCGGCGGCTGAGGCCAGCCAGGCGGGCCTGAGGGATCGGCACCCTGCTTGCCAGGAGCAGCTGCTCCAAGCCGGGGACACCCCCGGCTCCTCCTGGCCAGAAAAATGGTTGTGAGCCACCCCGAGGCTTCAGTGAATGAGGCGGCATAGAAGTTCCCCTAATAAATAAATACATAAATAAAAAGGTGGGCGAGGGGAATCGGCTTCCCCCCAGACATGCTGGGCTCCAGCCGGCCGTTCCCCGGGAGGTGGAGCGCTCCCAGCCACCGGCCGGCTATTCTGGAGAGGCGAAAGCCGCCGCCCGCCGGCCTTCGGCAAGGGGGGCTTTCCTATGTTCTGCCTCCACGGCTCGGTGCGCGTGATGCCAAGGCCCGCCGCCCTGCCTGGCCGCTGTGAGCTGCTCTGGGGACGGGAGCCGCCTGGAAAGTGGCAGAACGACGTCACCAGCAGCGAGCCACCGACTGCCGGAGGCCCAAATGCAGCACATCTGGGGAGACCCGTTTCCGCCAGAGCAGCATCTGCTCCTTTAAGAGTTTCTTCTTCTATGCCAACTGGGCACAAACTGTTTTTTACTCCGAGGATGAACTTTAATCTCAGTTAAGACGGAGAATACGTGACATTAAATTTAATTGAAATGGTAAACACTATTGCAGAGTGTGGAAAAGAGATTTGCTGGTTGCAGGGTGAGGCCCCGGGGGAGACGGGGAGCCCAGGGCTTCCCTCCAGCAGTGACCTCGGGAGGGGTCCAGGTCGCAATGGCGGGGATGCAGCAGCACACCTGCGGGACCTCAGCGCTCACCCAGCTGCACCCCTTCAGGCAGCAGCGGGTGCAGCAGTGGGGACGCCCCCTCCCAAAACCGGCTCCGTGAAATGGAGCAGAGGAGTTGCTCCACCAGGGCTTGAAACAGCTTGAAAACAAACACGGGCAAAGCCTTCTTGGAGCTTCATGAAGGAGCCTGGGGGGCGGGGGGCGGGCACTGCTGAAACCCGAAGAGGGCACCTTGCGCTATCCCAGCGCAGGGCCTATTTGGGCGGCGCAGGATTGGAGGGGGGCTGCTTGTGCCAGCAGAAGCCACCCTCGGGATAAGCAGGTGGACTTGCGGCAGCTGAAGCTGAAAGGCTGACTTGCAAAGCCCTTCCCTGCGGCCGGAGCCCCTATTTGCCTTTGAAGAAAGGGGCTCCCCAGAGTTGGCAAACATCCCACGCTGAGGACCACCCCGGGATGCTGCAAAGGGGCGGGCGAGCTGGAGAAAGCCGCCTTCTGCGTGTGGGCAGCTCATCCCTCGCCCTCCCTGAGCATGGAGACGAGGCACCTGGCCCCGGGCAGACGGCTGCAACCTCGGAGCGCCGCTGCCCAGGACGGCTCCCCAGCTCCCACACTTCCGGCCCAAATGCGTCCTGCAGCTCCCCCAACATCTCCCCTCAAAGGCTCCTGCAGCAAGAACAAGACAGAAGCTGCACTGGGGAAACCCAGGAGGCTACAGATGGGCCGGAAGGTGGCTCCTTGCACACTCAGAGCTCCCTGCGGGGCTCCTTCCATTCCGAGAAGGGTGCGGAGGAAGGAGAGAGGCACCCCGGCCTCTCTTGCCCAGGGAAGGGCCTCACAGCGGGCGAGGCTCCTCGAGTCGTGCTTGCGGTCTGAAGCACAGGAAATGAGCTGCCCGTGTCAGGAGGCAGCTAACGAGCTGCCGCGGTGATGCAAGGCTTAGCTGAGGTTCTTGCAGAGAAGCAGTGGTGCCCACTCTTTTACAGGCCAGAGAACGGGGGCAGCTACTTGCACAGGAGCCAAGCTCTGTGCTGGCCTGACATGGGAGCTGCCCTGCCAAGAGGAAGACCGACCATCTGACTCATGTGCCCAGGAGCCCGAAGGGAGAGCAGAGAAAGTCACCCAGGTTTCACTGTATTGATGCATCGCTGCCACACTTCACTGGCACGGAACTCTGGGCGTGTGGCTACGGCGGAGCCGCTCACCCCCCGCGGACACGAGCAACCAAGGAACAGCCGGGCAAGTGGCATCTTCTAAAAGATGCAGTCTCCGAGTTCTGGCATTTTCTCAAGAGCACTTCCTGTTCAGGAATGTAGGAAAGGGCACGGACCTGGCCTGGGAGTTTGGCATCAGTGTGGTTTAATTTGAAACTTTTAATTTAAAACGTTCCTGTCACAAGTATTTCACTCATCCTGAAAGCTTAATGAAAGAATTCCCCCAAAGCCGCTTGTTTCTCTGCAGGCCTCCACGGATGAGACAGCTTCTCTAAAGCCCCAGAGTTGAAAAGCGCTTCATTAGAGAACACTGTCCAGGTCAGGAGAGAATCCCAAGTGAAGTCCGAAGCGCAAGGCATGCGAGAGCCAAGCACGGCACCCGGCCTCCCGGGAACAGCTTCCACCGGCCTCCGTCCGGCCTAGACTCGTCCGGCCACAGCTGGTGCCCGCGCATTGCACAGCCCCGAAAAACTGCCTGCCAAAGCCTGCCTGTTGCACGTGGCCGTGGGAGCCCCCCTGCGAGGGCGCTGGGCGCAACGTCCCTGGTTTGCGCCGTGCCCAGCGCCTTGCACCAGCCCCCTCCCAGCACCAGAATCAGGTGGGCCGGGAAGCGGCCCCCTCGCTGGGGAGGGCGCACGTGCAGGAATGCCGAGGCCGCTGGGGCAACGCTCACGTGGAGAAACCTGCCTGCCGCCGCCTCCGCTCGGCGCACCAGCCGCAGCTGCTCCCGCTCCCGTGCGGGGAGTGCAACCGCCAGGTCCCGGCACCGGCGTGCGCAGGAGCGCCCCCTGGCGCCCCGCGCGGCTCCCCGGACAGTGCATGGGAGCGGGGCTGCAGGGCGGCCCCGCAGACCACACCTGCGCAAGAGCCGCACGGGCGGCCGCTGGCGCCCAACCCGGGAGGAGGCCTTGGGGTCGACACGCCGCGCCCTGAGCGACCCAGGGCCGAACCACCTGGAAGCGCTCGTGGGCCAGGGTCCGCCTCGTCCGGCAGCGACAGGGAAATGGGTTCCCTCTAAAGCGGCCCCATTCACTTGCTGGCACCCTTTCCGGACAGCTTCCTCCACCTGCGAACGAGACCTCAGAGCCGTAAGCCACGACAAGGGGCAAAATAAAGCCGAGAGTTCAAGCAGAATCCGTAAAAGCCGGCTAGTCAGTTACGGGCAGCTTCCTGGGATGAGCAAGTCTTTGCGGGTGCCACAAACAGTGGGCAGCACGCCCCAAAAAGTCAGGTCTGCCTGCAGAAGGCTCCAGCTGGGCCCTGGTCCATGGGCAGCCGCCCGGAGTGTGCCCCCCCCCCGCTTTCCACTCAAGCCCCCGAACTGGGCGGCCTGGTTAGGGATTCAGAAGCGGCCAGTGCCGTTCCTCCTGCAAGAGGAACCCCGAGGGATGCGGCACCTGCAGCCGGGACGGGAAGCAGGCCGGCCAGAGGCAGGCCAGGCAGCGGAGGCACTGGGCACCATGGCGGGGCCCAGCGGCCTGCTGGCGAGGGGGCATGAAGCAGGGCCCCGGGGGCCGTCCGCCCGGGGCACCCCGTTGCCCCCCCACGCTCGCCTCTTTTCTCACGGACTCCGAAACACCCTTTGCGCGTTCTCCTGGCCAGTCGCCTTCGCTTGCATTAACTCAATAAAAGCTTTTAGTTCGGAAGTCGCCGTCTGCATGCCTGGGAGAGAAGCCAGGCGGCTGGCTGCACTCTGCACGAGCTCCAGCTCCCAGCGGAGCCCCAAGCAGACCGCCCCGCCTCAAAGCACCAGAACCCACAACCGGGCCCTTTCAGGGCTAATTAAATTCTTACTCATTAATGGTTGGGGGAAGCCAAGGCAAGCAAACAGCACATCTTGCTGCGCTTTTATATCGCTTTCGTAGGCGGCTGGAGACCACTTCGGGATTTTAAAAACGGGGAATGCCATGCAAACACTTTAGAAGCCCAGGGAAAGTATTTCTATGATTCTGTTGCTCTTCTTCTCATTATTAATACTGTATCTCATTGATGCGCTGCCTCTCTGCCGCCAGTTCTCTCCTCCTCCATCGCATCAAATGGGGGTCCCTGCTGAAAGACAGACTGGTCCTCTGGGTGGGGGGGGGAGGAACATGGCCGCCCGCCGCTCTTCCCAGCCTTCCACATTCCTTGCAGGCACGACTGACCGGCTGCCTTCTACCCTTGCTGGCCAACGCTCAACCGCTGCCCGGCTGGATCTGCGCCCCCCAGCCCTCCTGCGCCGGCAGGCCTCTCTGCCCGTGGGCATCATGGGGTGCCGCTGGCCACCGCGCCCTCCCCACCCAGCCTGCTGCTGTGAACACCCCAGCGCTCCTCGCGAGCCCTTCGGGGAAGGTGCCGTCCGCCCCGCCACCCGCCGGCTGCCACAGTCCCTGCGAATTCTCCTCTCCAGCTGGCCGAGCTGGAAAGGGCCGCTGCCGCAAACCGAAGGAACAGGCCTGTTCCCAACACAGCAGCTTTATGAGTGAGCAGGAGGAAGCGGGACGGTGAGGGGGGGAGCGCCATCTGCAACCCCGCTACAGCCCGGCTGGACATCTGCTGGTCCCGGGCCTGGCCTGGCAGGGCCTGATGCGGGGCACATGGGTGAGGGCTGCCGGAGCCACCCCCACCCAGCCGCGTCTCCCCGGGCACCCTAGCACCGTGCACGCCTTTCTCCAGGCCGGATCCACACCAGCAAGCAGGCCGTGCTGGGAAGAGAATCCGGCCCAAAGGAGCCCGGGCAGCCGTCCGCAGTGTCAGAAGCAAGCCCACCCTCAGACCGTTCCTGCCAGGAAAGCGGCTCCCGCCGTCATGCTGGTCTGGGCCCCGAGAAGCCCCCCACCCACAGCAAGGACAGCTGCCCGTGCTGTCCACGAGCACGTGGAGAAGAGGCCCACGGCCCGGGCCGAGGCAGAGGCCACACAGGCCAAGAGGCCACCTCCGCAGCAAGCCCTCCTCTGCAGATCCCAGCGAGGAGCACGGGGCCTCCTTGGTACGCTCAGCCCGGCCCCAGCGGGACTGGCGATCGACTCCCAGGCCTATCGAGAGGCACAGAGCGACCAGCCGAGGCAGCACTTCTCCGTAGGACAGCAATTTTCCGAATCAGCTCCTGAGGTATGCGAAGACAAATCCCACGCACCGGCTGCCCTAGAGGCCTCCGAAGACCCACCGTGCTCAGGGGCCTTACTCCATGTGCAGTGCATGGAAACCAGCCCCGTGTCCCGACGCTTAACCCAGTCGGAAGTGCTGGGAAGAGCAGCCAAGGCAGGGAAGAGCCTTGCCCCCAGGCCACCTGCCCCAGGGCCCCGTCAGACCAGGCAAGCGGCACTGCCCTCTGCACGCCTGCCCAGGAGGACGAGGCAAAGCAGGGCAGAGCCAGCCTCCAGCAGCCCAGCCGCTCTGCCAACACTCCGGCGCGGTCACAGGAGCTCGGGCTCCCTTTCGGCCCCAGATGATGGGACGCGGCATCCTGCAACGGGCCGGGTCGATGCGCAGCTCATGTTGTGAGCCGCCCCGAAGCTTTGTTGCGATGGGGGCGGCATAGAAATGTTTTAAATAAATAAATAAATTCCACGCTCCTAGCGGGAGGTGCGTGACATCAACGTCCAGGATTTCACCGTCCAGGCCTTGCCCTTAGCGTTAACGCACAAAGACACAGAGGGCAATTGCGCAGAACTGCACAGGCCGCAGCTGCGCTTTGCGCTGGGGAAGATGCGACGAAGACCCTTCCCCAGCATCCTAAGAGGAAGTGAGTTTGTGGCAGCTGTGCCCTCAAGCACGTGCGCGAAGCCGCAGAGGTGGGGAAGGCACGAGGGGGGAGAGGCGCCAGGAGGGCTCTGACGCTCCCCAACAGACGCCTCCCCGCACGAATCGACGCTGGAGCTACGAACACACGGGAGGCCAACTTAGTCCACTGCCGGGGGACAAGGAGATTTTCCTGTGTACCTCCCATCGTGTTCCTGAACAACTTTTGTTCTGCCATCTTTAAAAAGTGCCTAAGTAGTAACAAAACCCCCTTCTAGCTATATGTATTTCTTCAAGTTGTGATTCTGGCCCACCTTGGCACTCTGGCAGTGGCGCACAGGAAGCGGCTTTCTCATGCTTTACAGTCCCCGGGGCGGCCACGTCCCACCTGGGCAGGCCCGACCCCGGCCCGGAAAGGGCGTGGGGGTGCGGGAGCCACCCGCCAGGGCTGGGAGACAACAGCGCTGCTCCGGCCCGAGGACCCCCGGCCGCGCAGCAGGGCTCCGGGCGGGCCTGCAGGAGGGGCCGGCCGACACCGCGGGGCGGCGAGTGGGGCTCCCCGGGCCGGGCGCCGGAGCCCGCGCTCTCCGGGGCGCGTCGCGCACTGCACGAGTTGCGGAAGTTCCGCGGGAAGCGGCCGCGCGCAACAGGTCCGGCCGGCACACGGGGGCTGCGAGGGGGCGCGCCGCGGACACGTGCACCTGCGCGGACCACGCTGTGCGCCCTGCCGGCCCGGGGCGGCGGTGGCGGCGGGACGGAGGGGACGCCGGGAGAGGGGACACCCGTCGGGACGCGGCCAGGCCCGGGCGCCGCGCCCGCTCAGCCAGGCGCCCGGGACCGGCCCGCCGCCTTCCCGCGCGTCCTCAGCGCCGGCGCCCGGCCTGCTCGGCGCGCAGAGCGCCGCCACGGGCCGGGCGGTGCCGGGTCCGAGCGCACGGGCGGCCTCCCTTCCGG